TCCGTTTTCATAGGATTCTCACAGTAATCTTCACTAAACTCAATTTTTACAGGTTTCTCGCTGTAATCTTCAATAAACTCCATTTTTACAGGATTCTCACTGTAATCTTCAATTAACTCAATTTTTATAGGTTCCTCATTGTAATTATCAATAGACTCCGTTTTCACAGGATTCTCACAGTAATCTTCACTAAACTCAATTTTTACAGGTTTCTGTTCTTCCTGCTGGTCTGACTCCATCTCTTCACTTGTAAATAATGATATTTTAAAAATGATTCGTGAATGTTCAAATATTTAGTAAATCTTTTGTTTTGAATCAGCGGTTGTTCAGAGCGCGTCTCCTCTTCTTCTGTTTCTGCCGGTTTGTGAAACCAACTTAAAGAGAGCCCTTCCGCCACCTGCTGGTCTGGAGTGTAAAGAGCACATACAGCTTATGAAGAGAGTGGACAAGTGTGAGAGAAAATGAGAAAACAGATCTAACGCTTTATTTCCTCCCTGTAATATTTTTGAAATATGTATTTATTTAAACAAAAATTAAATTAAAGCATTTGATCAGTTTTATATATTTTTTCTCACTTTTTTCCCTCTCTTTTATTAGGAAAACTTTATATAAGACATTTTAATACTTTCTAAGAACCCGCAGCCACCCTATTATAAGAGCTACTCATATGCCATAATTGAACTTAGACCTAATCTTGGCTTAGTCTAGCCTTGTCTGTGAAACTGGGCTATAGCTGCCTTTGATGCTATAATTTGCAGATGCCCCGAGTCATCGCCAGGAATTTCTCCTTTTAAGAGAAATTCTTGAACTTATACATAATGCAAAATAACCCATGTAGATATCTATGCTATCTACATTTTTTTCCAGTCTTCTTTTACTTATTGCGTCTTACCCCTAGCGGACGTAATACTAAGGCATTAAGATGAATTTCCAAAAGATTTTTGTTATTCCTCTTTTTAGTCAACTTCAGCATGTGTGTGTTCACCTATGCTAGCACTGTGGATGCTTAGGGTGTGTTTATTATATGTATATGTGTATATATATATATATATATATATGTATGTATATATTATGGAAGTCAAAGAGGACCAGAAGCATTTATGCAGTAAATGCATTTAAATATATATATATATATATTTAAATGCATTTACTGCATAAGGCGTAGAGCTACAGGACTCTACGTTGAAAATACCCGTTTGTTTCCCGTTAGGCATCCATGATAGTCACGTGACTGCAAAGTATAAATTAGCATTCGTATTATTATCCTTTTACACAATGGGCGTTTGTATTATTATCTTTTTCTTGGTGGCACATCGCCACATAGTATATAAAATGTTTCTCTTTTAGTCCTTCCCAACCCCTAGAGAGTAGAGTAGATCGACTAACATCTTTTAATGGTGATCAAGACCTCTACTAAAGTAAAACGATTCAATTAAGTTCCTGAGGAGGCATTCAAGGGGGCTATGTACATTTCTTCGATTGTATATGTGTGAATATAACAAATCCCAGATATTTAACCAATTACCTCTGTTTTGATAATCGGAACAGGCCAGATTATGCCGGAGACCTCGCGAGGAACTCAAAGCGATGTAGTTTCCTGATCGAAGCGGGTAAAATATGATCAGAGTTTAAAAGAATAATCAAATAATTGTTCACGTTTAATGATACACAGACATCATTAAAAACTTTTTCATTAATGGAGTCAGATGAAATAACGAGTTAATACATGTGAGAAAATATATTGCATTTAATCTTGTTTTAAATCTAAACATATCTTTACAAAAGTTCACAGATGCAATATAACGCAGCCAACACATTTTAGTCAGTTTAGATAATGATAATTAATCACTTAAACAACCTTTATCTAAACCTCTATACACAACCGCCCGACTCGCGCGTCCTCCATATTTGTAGTAGTTTTTCTGTTTGTTTTTTTTTTTTAAACACTTTTCATTCGTGTTTGTAGTTCCAACCAAATCCTTGTCCAACGCGCGATGGGTTGTGGGCAATATCAGCCATTAGAGTGTGCATCGATCTGCACACCGGATATAGTAGACCATCCGGGTCTCTTTCCAACACTCATTTCAACACACGTACTTATTCTATTTTTGAATACTATTTAGGACGATTATTATGCGGATTGGGACGCAGAAGGAGTTTTTTGTGCATGCAGCTTCCCTTCTGGTGCTGCTTCAGTTCACCCTCTGTAAAATAGGTTTTTCCACAAAGCAAGCACACATGACTCTTCACACCACTGTGTCTTATCTTGTGTACTTTTAAACAATTTAGCCATGAAAATTGCTCTCCACACAAAGAACACACGTGAGGCTTCTCCTTTGAATGAACGCGGAGGTGATCCTTCAGGGAACCTGCCAAAGTAAATTTTTTACCGCACTGATTACAGTTAAATGGTTTTTCTCCCGAATGAAAACGCAGATGAAATCTCAGAGAACTTGCCAATCTGAAACTCTTCCCGCACTGATCACATATGTGCGGCTTCTCTCCGGTGTGGATTGTCATGTGATCTTTAAGGGTTGCTTTTATTGTGTAACTCTTCCCGCACTGATCACATGTGTACGGTTTCTCTTCAGTGTGGCTTATCTTGTGTCTCTTTAGGTGAAATTTGTGGGCAAAACTGTTCCCGCACTGATCACACGTGTACGGCTTCTCTCCGGTGTGGATTTTCATGTGATTATTAAGGTCTCCTTTTAGTGTGAAACTCTTTCCACACTGATCACACGTGTGTGGTTTCTCCCCAGTATGGATTTTCATGTGTCTGTTAAGGAGATATTTCACTGTGAAACTCTTCCCGCACTGATCACATGTGTGCCTCTCTCCGGTGTGGATTTTCATGTGTCTGTTAAGGAGATATTTTAATGTGAAACTCTTCCCGCATTGATCACATGTGTGTGGTTTCTCTCCAGTGTGAACTTTCATGTGATCTTTAAGGTATCCATTTTTTGTGAAACTCTTCCCACACTGATCACATGTGTGCTGCTTCTCTCCGCTATGAACTGTCATGTGATGTTTAAGACTTTGTTTGTATGGGAAGTTTTTTCCACACTCAGAGCAAGTGAAATTTTTGATCGGTCTCCTCGGCACAAGTTTACTTCCAGTCTGTGAACAACTCAAAGGTTTTTCTTCAGTTTTGACACAATGTTCCTCCTCCACTTCATCCAGTTCTTCACTCTCCTTAATCTCTACAATCAGGTCTGAAATGAAGGTTAAGAAGTTTTAATTTCCAGTGAATCACCAATATATTTTTTAACATTTGCTCTATTGTTGTTCATGCTGGCCCAGTGCCATCGGGCAGTCATTATTGGCGAGCCCTGAATATAATGCTATAGGCCTAGTACCAATATTTTATTAAATGAGAACAATAATAGTAGCATAGATTTCTTGTTGAATGACTTTCATATTTGACAACCTCACTGAAATTTGGCTTCCTCTCCCTTGGTACTTTAGTGCTTTTTTAATAACAAAAAATAACGATTTGACTTTGACCTAAATGTCTGCCATCCTTTTTTTTATTTTATACATTGTCAATTTGTAAGGCTTTATTTTTAAAATAGGGACATTAATTATCCTGTAATGCTCAGTAACTTGCAAAATAACCAATATTTAAAGGTGAATCGTGATTAAATCGTGATTTAAAACAAAACAATTATGATAATTTATACCTGTATGACGAATCGAAATGTTGACTGACTAATCATTATAATAAATGCTTAAGTTGTATAACTTTAATTGTTCAGAGCATAATTAATGAAAAATCAAAAATAAACACCAACCTATCTGTTGTTCAGTGTCTTCAAGCTTCACTCTGATGGGTTCTTTATCTGGATCACTCCTGTTCTCGCTGTAATCTTCAATAAACTCCATTTTTACAGGTTTCTGTTCTTCCTGCTGGTCTGAGTCCATCTCTTCGCTTGTAAATAATGATCTTTTAAAAATGATTCGTGAAGTTTCAAATACTTTGAAAATCTTTTGTTTTTGAATCAGCTGTTGCTCAGAGCGCGTCTCCTCTTCTTCTGTTTCTGCCGGTTTTTGAAACCAACTTAAAGAGAGCCGTTCCGCCACCCGCTGGTCTGGAGTGTGAAAAGAGAGAGGAAAAGTGTGAGAGAGAGAAAACAGATAGAACGCTTTTATTTTCTATATATATATATATATATATATATAAAATCTTTTTTTCTTTCTCACTTTTTCTCTCTTCATTATCGAAACATTTCTCAGGCCTACTCCTGATTGTCTTTTAATTCTATTAACTGTTTGGTATTGCTGAAGTATTTCTCTTTCATATGCATTTTAGAAGCTTTATTGTTTCTGGGTGTCCACATTTGGCACATGTAGCCTACTTATTTATTGGTTTTGGTTTGTTTCAAAAGATTTACAAGTCATTTATAAAAATGTAATCATTCCAAATTGGCATTAAGTGTAAAAAAGCACCTCAAATACACACATTTCGCTAATATTAGACTTGCTTTTTTATTAATATAGCTTTCTACATGCTTTTTGTGACGTCTTCAGGAGAGAGGATTATTGTTCTGTAGGATTGTTTCATTTTATGCAAAGCAACAAACAGGGGCATGATGTGTCACCTGAATGTGTGGTCTTTTCGCTTGATGGAAACGACTGATGCCTTGCATAACATTTTATGATTATATTTTAATTTATAATTTAAAATAAGTTCTCAGAATACACAGACTGTTTATGGACAGGTTATGGAGTCAGTCACAGCATATTTCGTCTACGAGTGAAACACAGGCGGAGGTTCCCCTTCTTTGCTTTCGAATTCGCAGCCAACAAATGCCCTCCTGTAAAGATGTAAACAATTGAGACCACAGCAAGTTTCACTTACACTCGCAAACTTACCAGCAAGTTTATCACGTGAAATCAGTGGACCACATATCCACACAACTGCTATTTATACCATTTAGCAGTTGTAAAATATAATCATGCTCATGACATTATAATCGTACTAGATATAACAAAAAACAAGATTGTAAAAAAAAAAATTCTTTATTAAATAAATTCACCAAAAATGTGCATCAATTGCCTGTGAGACTCAACAGAGCTTCGAGTTTATAAAATCATTCTATGCCATTTTATTAGTTTAGAGCTTTACATCTCAACATCTCCAGAACTAAGTGTTCTGCACATTTCATACTGATGGTATGACGCCACAGAAGTCTGATGGTAATGTTCAATCCATCTTGTTCTGATCAGCTCTCTTCTCGTAGATCTGATGTCATAAACCAGAACAGCAACAGTAGCCACGCCCACCAGTGCAGAGACAACCAATCGGATCACAGCTTCAGTAAAACCACAACAGTGGATGGGATCTGAAAAACGTAAACACAGAATCAGAAACTTGCATTCAGTCTGAAGATAATGCCATATATTACATAATACATAATTTCGATATATGTGAAACCTGCTCTATATTTTTCAATATACTGCAATGTATGGCTATATAATAATGAATATGAAATATTTGTGTACATACATGTACATACAATATAAATGTGAATAGTTCACACACATTTAAACACACACACATAATTCAAGGAATGAGTTACAACAGATTTATAGTTCCCAGCATGCTTTGCTTCTGACTGTTAAAGGAGAGCAAATGTTAAAAAAAAGTGTTATTTAATGTGTTTTGCTCAATATTAATATAGGGGGAGATCTATTAGTGTTTAATGCTCTATTTTTTTATTTGTTTATTAATATTTAAAATGTTTTCTGGAATGTCTGAGTTTTTGGGGTTACCATTGTGCTGATGAGTGTCCAAACATTATCGTAAATGTAAATAAATTATTGTATAAGTAATGACTGTGTACTCCTCAGTTTAGTGATAGTTCCTTAGCTAAATACTTCAGTACATGCATCCATGTTTGTGCTATTGATAACTAGGTTGAAAATATGAAAAATGTATCACGTAGATAATTTAAAAAAAATTAAGAAATATATAACATTAAATATGTCTCTATATAAAATTGTGATTATGTTGCATGATTACATACTGTATATCTGCAATATATTACACTTGCAGAATCATATCTGATCACATATACATCTATATATTTTGAAGTGTATTACTGAATATAAAATTAAATATGTTAAGATATATTAGTAAACAAAATGCTATTGTAACATATTTTTCTATATATGGATAGTGGCAATTCCTTTTGTATTCTTCAATATATTCTAATATATTGACACAATATACTAATTTCTATATTTTCAAATGTACCGTTAAACCATTAATTACTGAATATACAATTACATAAATTGTGATATACTAGCAAATATAATGTTATTGGCATATTTTTCAATGTATGAAAAGTGACAATATCTTATATTATTCAACATATTGTGTAGTATATATATATAATATATATAAGTATATACTATTCTGTATATTTTCAAATATGCCATTAACCATTTGAACCGTATTGATCATTCATGTATGGGAAATATGTTTTCTTTCCGTAAGGGTAAGGAGTTCCAGTATAGGATGAAATGTTTGCAACCCCCCTTCACCAGCTCTTAGATTCACGCAACACTTCCCTGACGCTTGTCTACAATCTGTTCTCCATTCCTGTAAACTCCGAAAAAGAAAGCAAGCAAATGCTTCAACCCCCCCCATTATCCATTATAGATTATTGTCCCTGTAAATGCAATTCTGTAAAAAAAATATAAAATAAAATAAAATTGTAAAATCACAGGGAATACATGCATGCACTTCAAATATGCTGGGTCGTTTTAACCCAATTTTGGGTAAAATATGAACAAACCCAGGTGTAATTTTAAAATTTAACCCAATACTTGGGTTTGTCCATATTTTACCTAAAATTGGGTTAAAACAACCCAAAATATGGACAAACCCAGCCATTGGGTTAAAAATGTCATTTTAAAATTTAACCCAATGCCTGGGTTTGTCCATATTTTACCCAAAATTGGGTTAAACAACCCAAAATATGGACAACCCCAGTCATTGGGTTAAAAATTTCATTTTAAAATTTAACCCAATGCCTGGGTTTGTCCATATTTTACCCAAAATTGGGTTAAAACAACCCAGCATTTTTTAGAGTGTGAGCTTATCAAACAAAATCCTTCAATGCAATGTAAATTCACTTTGGGTAAAAGTATCTGCCAAATGCATAAAGGCAATTTTTAATAAGTTTGCAGTCGATTATAGGCCAATCAACAGCAGAAATGTGAATGATATGTACTACACTAATAAATATGTGTTGGGTTTTGACTTTAATCAGGCCACTTATGAACTAACGTGATTTCAGAGAGAAAAAGTAATCTCACACTGATTAACCTGAACACACATCTAACAGAGTTCTGCTCTGGAAATAAACACTAATATCATCAGTGATGTACCTGAACTTGGTTTATGGAGTTCAGTGTTGTAGTCATTCTCCGTTTGATTGTTCACCACAAAGCTGGACGTCACAAAATTTGAGCTTGATGATGTTTCTGATGATGAAGTACTCCGTGGAGATTCTGTTAATGACAGATTAGAGTCACACTTCGATGAAGACAATATCATAAAATATGGATTTAAGGAATATTAATTTTTTACAATTTGTTTCAAATGAGGGTTAGTGTAAATTACGCCATAATGGTCAACTCACCATTGACAGTAACATTGAAATTCTTGTATTCGGTTTCGTCGCCGACTATTGTTAGTTTGTAAAGTCCGGAGTCTGTGTTTCTGGTGTTTGTGATGGTCAGAGATCCGGTTAGATCCAGAGTCAGTCTGTCTCTGAATTTACTATCAAAGGTAGAGCTGGTTTGTGTGAGTTTGTTAAATTCAGCGATTCTTGTGCTTCCGATCGTCCACTGTATCAGCAAATATTTCTGTGTTTCAGTGACATCAGTGTTTAGAGTGACAGAATCTCCCTCCATCACCGACACTGAGTTCACTGACTCTGTCACATCTGGAAAAAAATGAAATAGAAATATATTTTGTCACCAAGAATGATATCTACAAGGATTTAACAATTTTTACCATCACAAATATATAAAATGACACAATAAGTTGAGGTATATATGAAAAATAAATACAAAACTGAGGTAAATAAAAAACTTTTATTTATGTCTTTAATAACATATAGACACAAATTGAGGCTCTGAGGCCTCTTACAGTCTAAAATACATTCCCATGTTCAATAAATATCATTTATACAAGGTCTGTGCTGTTGATGAGCATGTTCAAAACTGCAAAACTCGTACACCGACAGTCAAGCTTTTTTAGGTGGCTATGAAATTATTTGTTCCTCATTAATGGACACAATCAATTCTTCTTTTCAAGTGTCACGTGATATTTCTTCAGCACACGTTTTTGAGTAACAGAAGTGAAACACAAAAACACTCACTCAGCTGATTCAATCTAATTCAGTTGTCAAGTTAAAGTCATTGGTAGTTCATAGACTAATTTAGTTTTCATACTGAGAAAATGAAATGTTAACAAACCACCTTAAATTAGCTGAATGCCTATTGAAACAAAAATATATATATATATATATTTAAGATTGATTTAAATTTATTTCGAGTTGTCAATTTTTAGTGTTTTACAAGATAAATGTTGTTTTGGTAAGTTATAGTTTACCCACCACACACTCCAAAACGAATTAATAAAATTAGCCTACTTTTGTCTGTATGTCTGAAACATATGTCTGAAAAACGAAAAAAAAAAAAAACAAAAAAAAAAAACAACAACAACAACAAAAACATTAGCCTATTCCATGGTAACCACAAATTAACCATGGTCTTGTAACATAAACCATAATTTAACTATGATATTTGTGTGATAAATGATAGTCAATTGTACAAAAAAAAAGTTTTACCTTTAATAAACCTTTTGGTATTACCAAAATAAAACATGGTTAATTGGTACATGGTTAAAAAACTTAAGTCATTAAAACACATTCATAACTTACCAACCAGACGACACAAGCTCAAACAGAGCAAAACAAAAGCTTTAACCATATTCGCTGTTGTATTGTTCACCACGAATCCAACGATGTAAATATCTGAAACTACATGATCCCGCTTTTTGTTGCTGCATGTCGTCAGTTCAGAGTTCGGTCGCTAGTGGGCGTTCCCAATTCCCATTGCTGGTTGCCTAGTAACGTTTTTGAGTGACAGAAGTGGTTGTCAATGCTGTTGACATTGAATACGTTTTCTCACCGCTAAAAATGAAAAATTTTAAACGGGAATATCTTATATAAATTAAATATGTCCATAAACGCTTAGTTAGAAATCAGAATTTGGTACTAAAGCCTAATCTGTATACAGCACATGCATACCCTCAGTAACTTTTTACGGTTTTACAGGCTACAACCCCTTTTCCAAAAAAGTTGGAACATTTTGGAAAATGCAATAAAACCAATATGTGATTTGTCAATTATCTTGATACTTTATTTAAAAATATATATATTTCTAATGTTTTCACTGACCACCTCAAATATATTTTATGAATATTGCCTAGCAACTTGAATAGAATTTGATGGCAACAAATGTTTTTAATGATAACAATTTCAGAATTTCATGATAACAAATTTTACCATTTTTCAAGTGGATTTTTTACATCTCACCTGATACACCTAGCCTGGATGCCAGCCCGAACTCCGCCCACAACACGAAGTCAGGCTATGATACACCTGCTACACAGTCTGTTTTCATTGTCTGTTTCTTCATTTCATGATTGGCCATACATTTTCAATACGAGACAGATCTGGACTAGAGTGTCTATAAGCCACACTTTTGCAGCACATGATGCAGGATGAAACTGATGCATGTACACACAGATATTTGCTTTTGCATTTTTTTCTGATGAAAGTCTGGATGGTGTCTTTTGTCTTTGCCACTAAAAATTCTCTGTTTGTTTCCCCCAAAACAAGCTGAATCATAAAATGGCCTGATTATTTCTGAAATTTTTCTTTAAATTATTTTCACACATGTCCTGACTGGGATTTTTTTTTCCATTTTTAATGAAAATATTCGACCAATCATGGCATGGGACATACAGAAAACAGTCAAATATAGGAGGGCTATGGGAACCAAAGCCAAATCCCATATATTTCAGGCAATTTAGAAATCCTGGCCAGAAAAATGTCTAAGGATAATAATTGTGTGTACAGCATTAATACTTTCCCCAATGCAGATGACAATGCTTTAGCGCCACCTTGTGACTAAATAGGAATTCCATTATACAGAGCTGGTAAGTCCCGCCCCTTCAGCAAGCCCCGCTGGACCACTAGGTTGAAAAATTCTCAATGCAAGTGAATGAGAAAAAAAATAAATAAATTCTAATCCCGTTTGAATTTTGCAATGAATGTAACATATGTTGTCTGTGAATTTTTTATATAATGTTTCGTGTAAAGAATGCTACAATTTAGCGGGTAGAATTTTCATACGGTTAGACTTTGTGTGAGAGCACTTTGTGGACTACAACTCTTTTGACGTGTTTGATATACATCACCCCCACTAGCACGCGGATCCCGCTAAACATGCCTGTGTCTTTGGTGCACTGCACTTCACCGCCTTCTTTCAGGGAGAGGACAAACTAGTTGAGGTGGTGAAAACCGTGATTTGTGGAGGGAAAATGTGTTATGCGGCGACGTCACATATGCGACGTGTAGTCTTTCTCGTTATGTCTATTCCACAACTGCTAGCCAAAGAATCATACAATATACTGTCAACTGTCAAACTCGTTACATGAGAAATTATTAAAAAAAAAAAAAATCACAGACAACATATGTTACATTCATGGCACAATTCAAACGGGATTAGAAAATAATCATTTTCTCTCATTCACTTGCATTGACGCTTTTTCAACCTAGAGGTCCACTTGGAGTTTATACGGATGGGCGGGACTTACCAGCTCTATATTCAAAAATATTTAGCAGTTTTAATGCCTTTGACACTGTTGTTTTTCCACGTTCAGTCTGACATAAATTCCTGATATAAACATTTTGACCTTTAGTCTAGGATCACATTAAACACAGTAATGCTGCAGTTATCAGTCATTTTGATTCATCGGTACATTTGTCTCCAGTTAGCATAGGATGTTTAGATTTTATAGAAGAAAATGTAAATGCCATGAACACACGTTCACACGTAAAAAATAAATAAAAGTAAAAAATACAGGAGTAACTGCGTATATTTTGAATGTAGAACTCATTAGCATTTTGTATCTTAGCAGAAGAGTGTTAAACCGCAGTGTGTATAGAGGTTAAAGTGTCTCTGCACTAACAGTTTCATCTGATCTCAACTTTTCACTTGGACAAAATACATCTTTAGTTGATGTAGCCTAAAGCATTCAGATTTTTGTATTAAACTCGATCATCTCTTGCTGAAAAGCAATTAATGTGGTGATTTAGTGACTGATGCGGCTGATGGTTTGGGAAGAGCAGATAAACACTGATTAAATTTGGTAATGCATTTAACAATGGATATATTGATCAGGCCAAACATCTATGAATCATAGGACTCAGGACAGACAGGAGTGTCAAAATGTGTATATAGTAATTTATCGTCAAATATATAGTTAAAGATCAAATTAAGAGAAGGGAGGAACATTAACTGAAGAACTGTTCACACATTTATTTTTGTGTTTGTGGTCAATTGTTTTTCTTCTCAGCTTCTCAATTTCCTGTTCATGTAGTCAGCATCTTACTAGATCAGTTTAACAGTGTGATTCAGTTCGAGATTAATGTGTTATCTGTATTTATTTTATTTTTATCGCAATATTGTATCTCTGGTATTTTCTAGATAAAAAAAATCTGCTAATAAATAAGTGCAAGTAAAAATACATTGAAAAGATAAATGAGACCAGAACAAAGAAATGAGGGATGTTTTTTCAGAAGTTTGGTTGCATATTGTATTTTGGAAAGGAAATTATTTGATCAGTCATGGAGAAAACTTGACAATTCAAGACTCATGGTGAATTACTGCACTGAAGCCATTGAATGGCCAAATCATTTATTATAGCAATAAATAATCTATGTAATTTTATAATTTATAATTATCAATGAGAGTTTGAATGATCAACTCCAATTGTGATCCAATTGTGACATCAAACATCAGATAGTGTTACACTTAATAATAACCAACTAAAAACATGAATACTCTGTATTTATGAGTGACTGATTCAAAGATGCACAGTAACAAATACTAAAAAAAAACAAAGTCACTGAATCTTTTGGAATCTGTTTATTCACAAGAAACATCCAAACTGATTCACTAGAATGAATGGTGTCTTGAATTAAACTCCAAGGCTTATAATAATACAAAAGAATACGATCATTATGTATCGATTGTCATTGATCACTATTTTTGCAAAGATAGTTTAGAACATATGTATTGTAAAAAATAATATAAAAACATGACTGTAATTAAAAAATATTTGTATTTTCTTTTAATGGAATCTAAGGTTAACTAATAATCACTGACATTTTTATTAATATATTTCCTCAAGACAATTATGTACTCAAAGCAGATAAAGAACATCTCCAGAGTTTAATGGTGTTTGCTCACTCTTCTACGGTTTTGATCCGAATTCACAAACCAGCACTGCAACAGTAGCCACGCCCACCAGAGCAGAGAGAGCCAATTGGACCACAGCTTCAGTAAAACCACAACAGCAGGTGCAGTCTTATAAGAGAAGAAATGGCCAGATTAATTATAAGAAATAAGTTTAATTTAATGTGTGAGCAATATACATAGTGTCATAGATGTACCTGCACATGTGTGGCAGAGTGTGTTGATGTCCAGATGTGTGGTCTGGTTGCTGATGGGATTGTTCAGCACACAGCTGTAGGTGTTTTTATCCTGATATTCCACCTCCAGAGGTAGAGAGAGACTGATGCTGAGATCACACACACTGATGCTGGACAATACACTCATTCCTTTATACCAGGAGAGAGTCGCATCACTCACATTCACAGCTGAACACAACAGTGAACAATTTGATGATGATGAAGATAAGTATCTGCTGATGACAGGAACAGGCAGACGAGCTGAGAAAAAAAAAAAGAGAGCTCTTATTTACAGCAAGAAAGTTTTATTGGTTTATTAAATTTTATTGGTCTTTATTTGATGTGTTGAGTGTGAGTTTATTGTAATGTCAGTCAGAGAGAGTCTCTCTCAACATCTTTAAATGATTCATGCTAAACTGGAATTAAATTATAACTGTCACACAAAATTCATTGCATAAAAATGTACTGTAAAGAAATTTCTAAAATGTAATTTCTATAACCGTCACTGCCACAGAACATTATAAATGACATTATCATTAGACATGCAGGAAATGGTCATGACATTTTGACAAAAGACAAGAATGACAATGATGACGTACAGACATTGTTAGTAATTACTGAAAGTGTGAAAAGTGTTTTAACTCACCATTGACGGTAAGATTGAATATGTTGAGCGGTTTCTCTGATCTGGTGCTGGATACTCTATAAAGTCCAGAGTCTGTGGTTCTGGTGTGTGTGATGGTCAGAGATCCAGTTTGATGCAGATTAAGTCTGTCTCTGAATCTCTCATCAGGAAAATCTGTTTTATTGTCCTTTCCATTGATTGTAGCTATGAGATTGTCGTTGTGTCCAGTTTTCCAGATTATCAGTTCATCTGTCTGTATTTCAGTATCAGTGTTTAGAGTGACAGATTCTCCCTCAGTCACTGACACTGACTTCACGGCATCAACACCAAACACTCCTGCACAACAAACAGAAACGGTTTCTCAAAAAGAAGCTTTTAGCCATATTTAAACTATTTGAACTAAACTATTAACCATTTGTCAAGGCAAATCAAAATTTCAAAGCACTCATTTCAATGTATAATTCTATAATTTGTAATATTTAAAACCTTTCACATTGGAAGGGAAAATCGGCAACGTTCAGAACAGCAATATGAACTCAAAAATATTTTAGTCTAATGAAACATACATTTAATGGGAAATAAAATATTACGAGCAGAGGAATGTGTGGACAAATAATATAAACTGAAGTAAAAAGCCATAAAAATACTTACCATAAAGACTCCATGAACACACACAGAAGAAAATAAACACCTCAGACATTTTGTTTTGTTTTTTCAGAATTTTGCCAAAGAGTTTCGCTACAGAAATATTATGATAACCAGTTCTGGCGCTCTTGAAAGTGTAGCTGAACGTGCAGCTGGTGTAGAAGTGGTTTCGTGAAACTGCACTGTCAATAAACTCCTGCAGTAGCTCCGCCCACACAGACTGAACGTGACCAGAGAAGAGCGATATGGTTCAAATGTTCACATTTTCTATTCTTAAAACCATCATGAATCTCTAGGCAAGAGGTTCTAATGAAACGACCATATTAAACTGAGTGTGTGAGATAGACATAAAGATCGATGTACAGTCAGTGGGGCCACAGGAAATAAAGGAAATAGCATGAAGCTAACTGCTTGTCTGAAGTCAAAATAGAGTCAGATATCACAGAAGTTAAATAAAGGAGCTGCTCTATAAACTTACAGAAGAAACCAACACAGATATGTAGGCTACACACAATATCACAGGAGGGCCGTGTGAAATCTGTTGGTTCATACTGTATTTGATAACTGATGTACAAAATCAGATAGAGTTTGCACTTTAAACAACCATCTGACTGAATATGTTGACCGTAAAAACGAATTAGTCCATAATTATAATAATTATTTAGATGTCTCTCCATCTACAAATATCTACTGACGCTCCATCTAGTGGCTGTAAGAATAATCTCTTTTGATGACGCCTAGCATGACAAATCCGGAGAATGAATGAGAAAAACAACACAATCAGAACAGATATAAGATAAAATAATATCAGACATGTTTAAAATGAACACAAGAAACTTACTTTTGCTATGGTTAAATAAATGTTCAGTAATTTCTTCAATATAGGCTATACATTTTTTCAAATTCTATAGTGTTGATATGGCAACTAGAAAATTCGTCCGCTAACCTCCATAATGTGCCGTGTTTCAAATCAATGCCAGTTGGAACTCCTAAGCAAATGATAACATTAATTACTGCCAGGTGGTGTTTAATTAATTGAATTAACGAGATGAATGCATATTAGAGTGTGAAGAGTGGCTTGATAAGGGTTAGTCTTGGGTGATCTGTCCTCATGGCTGTGAGGGAGATTTGTGTTTGGAAGAAGCTCATTTTCACCCTTTTTCTCTTTGCTGTTGATGGACTTAAACAACCAGGTAAGTACCAGCTTTGAAGTAAACAGAAGCATTCTGTTTTTGTGTGGAAGTTGTTTACTAAACTTTACAGATGGTGAAAATAAGCTTTGTGAACCATTGAAGCTTTCCTTTACTACTCTTGGTTTGTTTGCCATCCAGGGATCAAATGGATGATGGTCATGTGTTTTTTTTTTTTGTGTCCCCTTTCCTAACCTTGATCATTCCTAACAGATATCCGTGACTCGTTTTGATGAGACTCCAATTGTGAACAAAGTGACAGCGTCGATATAGCTCCAGCAGTGCAGATTCTGGTCTACAGCGTTCTTTCCAGTGAGAATGTTGCTGTGCTCTCTTACCACCCTTGACTCCAGCGTGGACCTCGGCCATTCAGCCTCCCTCTGTTGGACATTACATCTTCTTCGCCATGGACTTGCTGCCCTACGGCTCTCCACCTCTTTCGCCTTTGACTAGCTCCGCCCTCCCTCAGGTTCCACCTCCATCTATGGTTGCTGCAGCTCAGCCTCTAACCTCAGGATCGCTGCTTCCACTTCAGGGGGTTGGCGCTGTGGCCTAGTCGCGGTCGCCTAGGTCTTTGTGTCTCACTGCCTCATCGCTTCTCTGGCTACGTGGTGTGCTCCACCTCCAACACCTCTGGTAAGCCCCTTGGTAGTGTTGGGACTCTTCACTCCATGGCTACTCCATTCTGCGACGCCACCGTGGGATGCAGTCCTGACTGTGGGCTGAGTCTCCGTCTGCCCTTCCCTGCTCAAGGCCATCCCCCCTGGCTGTCACCACCATCTGCACCAACCTTTTTCTTGGTTCTCTTCGGCTTTTTATTGTCCTCCAGCTAACTGAATATGATCTTTTAATGTGACGGGTGGAAGTAAGGCCGTCCGCCCAAGCCGTTCGCCCGCCCAAGCCGTACATGCCTTCGATCCGTCCGCCCGCCCAAGCCGTACATGCCTTCGATCCGTCCGCCCGCCCAAGCCGTCCATCCGTCCGTCCGCCCGCCCAAGCCGTCCATCCGTCCGTCCGCCCGCCCAAGCCGTCCATCCGTCCGTCCGCCCGCCCAAGCCGTCCATCCGTCCGTCCGCCCGCCCAAGCCGTACATGCCTTCGGTCCGTCCGCCAGCCCAAGCCGTCCATCCGTCCGTCCGCCCGCCCAAGCCGTCCATCCGTCCGTCCGCCCGCCCAAGCCGTCCGTCCGCCCGCCCAAGCCGTCCGTCCGCCCAAGCCGTCCGTCCGTCCGTCCGCCCGCCCAAGCCGTCCGTCCGTCCGCCCGCCCGCCCAAGCCGTCCGTCCGTCCGCCGCCCGCCCAAGCCGTCCGTCCGTCCGCCCGCCCGCCCAAGCCGTCCGTCCGCCCGCCCGCCCAAGCCGTCCGTCCGCCCGCCCGCCCAAGCCGTCCGTCCGCCCGCCCGTCAGTCCACAGTCAGGACTGCTTCCCACGGCGGCCATCCGTCCGTAGTTGGAGGAAAGTTTGGTGCAGGTGATGGTGACAGCCAGGGGGATGGCCTTGAGCAGGGAAAAGCTGACGGAGACCCAGCCCACAGTCAGGACTGCATCCCACGGTGGCGTTGCAGAATGGAGTAGCCATGGAGTGAAGAGTCCCAACATTACCAAGGGGATTACCGGAGGTGATGGAGGTGGAGCACACCACGTAGCCAGAGAAGCGATGAGGCAGTGAGACACAAAGACCTAGGCGACTGCGACTAGGCCGCGGTGTCGCAGAATGGAGTAGCCATGGAGTGAAGAATGCCGACACTAGTCTCCTAAGTCTTTGAGGTGAAAAAATACGTAAGTAAGTTGTTGTGTAAGGGCAGTTCAATGACAAATCTGAGGCCTTAATCTAAAGCGCTTTGTTTCTGGTTTAGTTTTGCCCAAGTTTGACATGACCGTAAACACACCGCAGACCTACAGCATTGCAGTTATGGGACTAAAAGTTGAGTCTTGTGCCAAGTGAGTGATTCTTTATTTTCTTGTCTTGTGGTTGGTCAGTTCTTTATCTTCTTATGATGTTTCCCAGATATACATATGGCCAACCTTTCCTTTTGCCTGTGCTTGACTTAATTGTGTCTTTGTTCTCCTACCAGATGAATGCCACTCTTACTGTTGATGTGTCAGTGTTTTTCAACACCAAATTTGAGGACCAAATGCAAGACACATTTCTTGTAAATGTGAATGTTACTGAGGAGGGAACAGGTGAGCTATTAGCTGATCTGGACCATGTACTCTTTATCATTTTTACAAAACAAGCACTTTAAGCCACAAAGTTGATATTCTTCACTGTTTGTTTGGGCTTTCTCTCGCAGATGTAATGGTGTCAAAATCTGCAATGGTGTCCTTTACAAACAAAGCTGTATATCTCTTTGAGGGGAGCAACTGGCCCAACAAACTGCTGTTGAATCTAACCACAATCAAGAATGGACGGGCTGTGTGCTCCCTAAACACTGCTAATCTTAAGGCTGATCTGAATCTGGTGGTACGACTTCTGGTGGTTCCCCAGGCGAGTGCTAATCCAGAGGTTTTTTATGGTTATAAATCGCCATACTTCACTACAGATACAAGGTTTGTACAGCTTCTCCTACCTGTTTCTCCCGACAACCCATTGTTTAGTGAACTGACTGTAGTGAAGCTCAATCAGCCGCTCAAATGTGGTGTTTCATTTCCAGTGACTGTGGAGTATTCATTTGTTGGAGAGGCTGGTAGCTACAGTGCTGACATAATCTATAGGGTAAGTGGACATAACTTTTGTTGTTAAGTTTGCTGGTCCGTTTGTTCCGCAACTTGCACACCTATGTCTTCTGTCAGGTTTTATCCAAAGGAGTGATTGTCCTCCATGGATTTCAGACGGTTAAAGCAAAGGCTGGTGATGCAGTCACAAGTGGCTCTACGACGTTCCAGTTGTCTGTCAGCGTCGATATGGCTCCAGTAGTGCAGATTCTGGTCTACAGCGTTCTTCCCAGTGAGAATATAGTTGCTGGTAGTGTGCCGTTTGACACCGATCTGTATTTGCAGAATCAGGTACTGTATGATGTGGCTATTTTTCAATTTGGTAATGTTGGTGTATGTCCTACAGCGTGTTGGTCCTTGTTCCAGGTGTCTCTGCAGTTTTCTCCAGCTACGGCTGTTCCTGCGGATGGAAACGTTCTGATGGTTTCTGCTCAAGCAGGATCTCTGTGTGGCCTCAGTGCTGTAGATCAGAGCGTCCGGATCATGGAGCCAGGAAGACGTCTGAGTGAGGCACACAGACAGCCTTTCAGCAATCAGGTTTTTTGTTTGGGCATTTAATCTGAATATTTCAGTGTGTGGCACTTCTAATTAGAATGCCACTTCAGTTTACCCCAGTGTCTGAAGTACATGGGCCTGAATTTTTATCGCAACTTCAGTGTCGGTACGTCTGTTAGTTTGATTCTTGCTCTAGAAATTGGTACATGATTTAAAGATAAAATGAAAAAAGGCTTTTAATATGACGGTCGGAAGTCCGTGCGTGCTTGCGTGCGTCGGTCCGTGCGTGCGTGCGTCCGTCTGTCCGTCCATCAGACACAAAGACCTAGGCGCCGCAGAATGGAGTAACCATGGAGTGAAGAGTCCCAGCACTAGTCTCCCAAGTCTTTGAGCTCCAAAAAATACGGTAAGTTGTGTCTCGATAGGGAAGTTCAATGACGGATCTGGGGCCTTAATCTAAAGCGCTTTGTTTCTGGTTTAGTTTTGCCCAAGTTTGACGTGACCGTAAACGCACCGCAGACCTACATCGTTGCAATTATGGGACTGAAAGTTGAGTCTTGTGCCAAGTGAGTGATGCTTTATTTTCTTGTCTTGTGGTTGGTCAGTTCTTTATCTTGTTATGATGTTTCCCAGATCTACATATGGCCAACCTGTACCTGGTCAAGCCTTAGTGGAAGTGTGCTGTGATCCATTTCCATACATTCTGCTTCATAATTTGACCAGACTGTGCCTGACTCAAACTGCAAAGGTGTGTGACTCCTGCCTTACTGCTGAGGGTTTTTCCTTTTGCCTGTGGTTGACTTAATTGTGTCTTTGTTCTCCTACCAGATGAATGCCAAGGGCTATGGCTCTCTCACTGTTGATGTGTCAGTGTTTTTCAACACCAAATTTGAAGACCAAATGCAATACACATTTCTTGTAAATGTGAATGTTACTGAGGAGGGAACAGGTGAGCTATTGGCTGATCTGAACCATGTACTCTTTATCATCTTTACAAGACATTCACTTTAAGCCACAAAGTTAATATTCTTCTCTGTTTGTTTGGACTTTCTCTCGCAGATGTAATGGTGTCAAAATCTGCAATGGTGTCCTTTACTAACAAAGCTGTATATCTCTTGGAGGGGAGCAACTGGCCCAACAAACCGCCGCGGCCAATGCCCTGTACTCGGACTTCTCCAAGGCGAAGAATTTATGCAGATCAGAGAGTTCTCTCCTCAAGTCCATATACAGCAGCCACTGAGGGCAGGCCAGTTCTGCCTAGAGTTCAAGACGATCCAACTCAGCCCATGAGGGCACTGCCTGTAGCTTCACGAGGTGACCTTCTGCATTCTCATTCTGTCAGTCACAAAGAGATTGATTATCTCACTGACAACCTAGGAGACCTGAGACTACCAGGCTCAGCAACTCTGCTAACTTCAAGTCATCCTTTCTCTTCTTATGAACCAACTCAATCCCAACACAAGCTAGCCCATCAAGAAGATGCTACATATCCTCAACCTGGTATTAGGCACATAGATAGACCACGTGGTTACTACAAAACAGACCACAGAGGCCATAACATTATGTCCACTGACCAAAGAGATCGCAACCAATATCCCGCAGCCGCAGTTTATGCCTCAGGACTACAGTCAAGAGACAGCAGCTACGTATGGGACTTATAAAGATCAAAGTCTGAACTGCAAACCGGTCCGCTATTTCCCTTCCACTGAACTATATGGTTATCAGCAACCTTATCATGGGATTCCAGCTACAAGTCCAGTCTATTGAGATTAGAGACTTACTTCAAGGGATACATTAGCTCACCGTGCACATGAGAGACACTCAGAAAGCTATGGTCAATCAGCTCCTAATCCGGCAAACAAATCAAGCTTCTTGACCCCACGACAGTACGCAGATTACGCTCAGCCTGAGACATATTAGCCATACCACCCAGTGCGCCCTCCTTGTCTTCCATATCCTCATGTAGAGCCCACCTACAGAGGTCCTATTCCCACCATCCCAGAGAGTTTGCACGACTCAAAATTGCACTGGAGAATTTGCTACCTGCTGAGGCTACAGAACGTTTCAAGTACCAAATACTCATTGATCATCTGAAACAGGAGAATGCCTTGCTCACTGCAGACTCATACGTCAACGGCAGGTACCCATACGCCAACACCATGAGGTCTCTAACTGCACTTTATGGTCAACCACATCAACTCGCACTACAAAGAATTGGAGAATTGATGGATGGCCCAAAAATCAGGAGTGGTGACACTAAATCTTTTAGACTGTTTGCCCTCAAAGTGCGTGCATTAGTTGGAATGCTGGACCAACTTGGAGCTAAAGGATGGACAGAGCTCAAATGTGGGTCACATGTTTAACGTCTCCTTGCCAAATTGCCTCATGATCTTAAAGCAAACTTCAGAAGGTTCGTTAACCCCATTCAGAACCCAGTTCCAACACTGATAGAACTCAGCGATTGGCTAGAATATGAGCTCAGAATACAAGAGGATGAGTCACAATACGTTTGTAATGTAAGCAGAGCCTACTCTCAGCCACAGAGCGAACAGCAAAGGAATTGCAAGCCGGTTCAACGATTTGCTACTGTCTTGTTTGGTGGCGAACAGAGTAAACCAGCAAGTGTTACAAGAGTCAAGAAGGAAAAACCAACAAAGTACTACCCCTTCTGCAACTGTGTGCAGCATTACTTCAATCAGTGCGCTAATTTCAAACTGCTGAATCAAGATCAAGTGGAGTCTTAGCTCAAGTCAAATCAGAAGTGCTTTAGGTGTGGCTGTGAGCACCAGATCTCACAATGTAATCTTAAAGCCAAATGCAAAGAATGTGAAAAGAGACATTTAAAAATACTGCATGACTTCAATGCCAAAGGTAAACATGAAACACAAGCTTCAGCAGAAAACAGTTGTCTTGTGAACTCATAAGTAGAGACTTTGTATCTGGACAGACCAACTGCAGGCAGCAAAGTTCTTTTCAAGGTCAGCCGAGTGATTTTGAGAAATGGAGAGAAGGAACTTGACGCATGCGCTATATTGGATGACTGATCAGAGAGGACAATGTTACTGTATGAATCAGCACAGCAACTTGATCTTCAAGGACTTCCTGAAGATATAGCCATTGGGCGGCTGTTTCATTCTCAGTACCTTCTGCATTTCAGCCAAACAAATCCTTCACCATTGAAAGAGCTTTTACAGCCAAAGAACTGAGCCTCGCAAAACACACTTACCCTGTTAAGTTTCTGCAGAAGAAATACAGATATCTGCAAGGTCTGCCCATTCCCTCATTCCAGCAGGCTCAACCACTCTTACTCATTGGCTCAGATTATCCACATTTAATCACAGCTACAGAGAAACCAGAACCGCTGTGAAAACCAGGTGGACTGCAGGGCCCGTCAAAATTCCTTGCCATTCATCTCTTACCACAACAGTGTCTATTAACCTCCACTTTGTCAGCAGAAGCCAAACATTTCAACAATGTACAGAAATTGTGGCAAATGGACACACTTCCGTATAGGAGTGAGACGCAGAAGGCAAGACACAGAAGCGGTGCAAATCCTTGAGGAGAAAAACAATCAGGGTGGCAGTCGGAGACATTCAAAGGTATGCAACACCTCTCCACCAAAGAAGAAATCTTCCACCTTTGCAATCAGCTAAAGAAGTGAGAAGCCTCTCGCTGCATCCTGCGGTGGACATCCAACCCAGCCCCATCCAAGTGTGACGTCAGAAGCTACCACGCCCATGCCCAAATTCATGCAACACATTCTCGTTAACATTTAAAAACAGGAAGAACTATCGAGAAGAGAAGACTAGAAGACGAAGGTAACTGCGAAACAAAATGCACAAAACACACTTGCGGTTTTAGTATAAACACTGTTTAACATAATACGAATGAGCTGTATGAGAATGAGATGTTGCCTGTTGTAAGCTGCTCTTATCACTTTATTAGTAGTTTGTAATGTGTGGGGCTGATCACTTGACTAGCATGCCTGCTCCGCAATTAGCGCGAAAGCCCGCGATATGTAATAAATTGTCAAAATATCGACGTAATTCGAATCAATAAGGTTTGATGTTGTTTTAGAGCTATGAATTATCTTCAACTTTCATATTGGTCATTTACCTCCCCTGTGATGTCTCTTGGTGTATCAGTATACTCTCAACTGAAACTTTTGTTATGTCTACTATACTATTATTATTATTTCACCAAATTCATGTTGTTATTTGGATTAAGGGTAAATATAAAAATATATTATTTTAGTGTTTATGTGTGACGTTACATCCTGTAAATCTTATTCTGCTTGAAAAAGAATATGAGATATATTATTGTACATTTATATTTACTTTTTCCATAGGCAATCATAAATGCCCTGGCTGTCTCCTGGCTGGGATATCTCCTCACAGGAGGCTGAGCAGGTCTTCCTTTCTGGTCTGGATTATCATTGCAGGTCAGAGTAGATTATTAATTCTTTTTGCCCAATGCCCAGTGCACCCTTTTGTTACTGATAATTCTGTTACAGTAACACAACTGTGACTGTTCTCTGATAACTATTTCAGTGAAGTGGAAGATTTTAACTGACAAATTGACAAATAATTGAGGAAAGAAAGGAGACCATTCAATTGTTGGCTGTTACTTTTACATTTACACATTTGGAGTTTGGAATTACGTCAGTAACATGAATATTCAATTTGACTTTCTCTCTCTACAACTCCAACATTTCATAACTGTTTAGTGTTAAATCAGAAATATATATTTCATTTGAACATGTTAAACTCATTTGTATTTCTCTCTCTCTCAGAGTTGAAGCCATTCCTGCAGCAACTGGTGGAAAACGGGGGATCTTTTTGGTGCTTTTGTTCTAGCATAAATAATTTTGTTCTTTCGTATAATATAAATGAATACATATGTATATATAAATAAATTCATGCTTGAATCATTCGCAAGTTTTGCCTTCTGATATTCTGGCCATATCATTTAGTGACTGCATGTGCTGATTCCATCGTTATTTTATCTGATAATGAGCAAATTAGTTAAACTTAAGTAGGTTAATCAATATACAGTATAATTCAAGAAACTAGGGCTCACACCACTTTTCAGTTGAATAAGATTGATATACATTTTTAATTTGTTTTGTATGAATTTACATTTTTGTAAATGTCTCTGATGCATTTTGAATAAAAAAACACATTTTATAAAAATACTCCTGAGATTAAATGTCTTTCGAACTATGTACATACAAACTAAAACAAGGGTCCTGTAACCGGGGTCATAAAGCTGCAGCCTCCGATTGTGTGATTTGCTCTGAACAACTGACATTGGTTAGTTTAACAAAAAGTTATCACACTTGCATAAATGGGTTATTTTTTTAACCCTATGAGTAAACTTGATGTATTAACACAAAATATTACATTAAAAAAATCATTTGTGACCAAGATATTTTGAACTATGATGATATTTTGATATGTTAAACTCATAACACCTGTACAGAAGAGGAAGCGAGAGATTAACTGTTTTTTTATGTATTAGAATATTGTGCAAAAGTTAATTTATTTCGGTAATTCAACATGGCTATATGCCGTAATCATCAAATTTATAACACACAAAGGCATGAAATATCTCACTTTGCTTATCATGACTAATGATGAGTATATTATATATTAGTATATGATTTAAGGTTTACATAAATTCCATTCTGCCATTTCAAAGTAATTTGCTATAACAGGCATTAACAGGTGAATTCTTAATTTGTAAAAATGCAATATTTCTATAACCACATAGAAAGAAATGTTTAAAAACGTTTTTTTAAATTAATTTTTAGAAGGGATAACTATAAGTGCAGTTTGGATCCCATATAATTAAGAAAGAGATAAAAACTCATTTTAGTTTAAATATAGATGCTCCCTTATATGTTTATCATAGCAAAACCATGATTATTGATTACCATTTGTAACAGAAATACAAGAGAAATACAAAAATATCGTTTTAAGGTACATTGTTTACTTGTCATTAACTTACAAAACCAGTGAGCAATGCAAACGTATTGTCTAATACAGCTGTTAAGGGAGTGCTTGTGTTTTAGACGATTCCAAGCCTGCCAAAGCGTCACAATTTAACTGCACCAATAATCTGTAGTGCCACATCTCTACACAAATAACCTCATCTTTATTATAAATCAATAACTACTATGATAACAATCATAAACATATTCCGACAGGAAGCAGCGGCATTTTGCGCATGTGTACACGAATCACATCAAATTGAGTCACGTGCCGTCTTTGGACATGGGCGAGGCTTCCGACGTCACACATGGATGGGCGTGGCTTCTGACGTCACACTTGGATGTGGGCCGGGTTGGATATCCACCGCAGGATGCAGCGAGCTGTAGTTGAAAGAAGCAGTAACAACCCATTTAAGAAGCACAGAAAAACACCTTTTGCAGAACACAGATCTTGCTTCAGTGTATGTTAAAGAAGTGCAGAAACTTGAAAAGGCAGGCTATATCTCAAAGCTGATACCAGAGGAGACGGATAAAAGCCGATGGAATCAAGGTCCACAGTTCTTAACTCAGTCAGTTAGTTGTTGGCCCAAACAGCCTCATGATGTTGTAAGCGATGATGACATCCAAGAAGACCGCAGTTATACTTTCTGTGGGGCGCTATCCTCCAGTCAAACTGATATCCCAGATATCTCTCGATACAATTCACTTCAAGATCTGATTAAGGCTACTGCTATTTCCCTTCATGGGGCGGCAGACGAAAGTGAACTCTCTGCTGACGACTATACACAAGCTGAACAGGAACTTCTGAGACGTGCTCAAGTTGAAAACTTGGATAGCCCAACTCCAGTTTTTCTTTTCTTTTTTCTAAAGGTCAAGCACTTAAAGGGTTAGTTCACCCAAAAATGAAAAAAGATATATATATATATATATATTAGAGATTGATTGATCTTGCAAAAGTGAGACAGCACCAGTATTTTCTTCTGCATGTCGCATACCCTGCTGGGTCAACAAAACAGCAAGTTTTTAATAAAAAGAACAGAGAATTGCATTGTCAAGTGTAAGAATTAATATTGTCATTAAGGTGTCATACAATGCAATCCGATGATACTATCAGCCTGTGAACGAAACAGGCATGAGCCCATTGACATAATTAAGCAATTAAGTGCATTTCGAATTATTTTAATATCAAATTACTAATCGTAATCCATGACATTACTGGCGCATGAAAATCTTCCAACGAAATTTAAACAGGCTATTTAATCTCCAAACCAAAATAGCTGAAACCATGAAAAGACTTGATTAGACTTTAACTTACCGGTCAGATAAGCACAGATGATAAGAGCAAGTATGTTATACCAACATTTAAGGGAGGAAATTGACAAACTTTCCACATATCAGCTTTTTAAGGCCTGAAATATAACTGTGCGTGCGCACTTTAAGGGTTCAACCAAAAATCCGGTCATTATTAAGGTGCTGCACTAACTTCTACAATAAAAAAAAAAAATCTTTCTGATGAAAGTGACTACGTTTACATGCAGCCAATTTTCGGGTTATGGTCGGGTTAAGGTCACTTTTCGGGTTTCTGAAACATTAGGGATAAAGGGCTGGACTGGGACAAAAAATCGGCCCGGGCATTTTGGCCCAGACTGGCCCACTACATATGAACATAAACGCAACTGAACTGTGGACACCCTTGAATATGTATACCAACAACTTCTATTAAAACCACCAACGCCATCTAATGAGTGAGATGAAATAACTACAAAAATACAATTCTCCAATTGCATTGGCAATACGCAACATACCAGTCTTTCTCACAAGATGTTTAGTATTGGTCAGTGCACCTCTGTCCCTCTAGGGGGGGTTCGGGGGCATATTCAGTGTGCAAATTGAACAAAGAAAAACTCAAAACTCTTTTGACAGTTATGACAGTTATAGCCATATATTGTAAAACACATGCTCTGAAAAATAAAAGCAACTTTCATAATTAGCTTAGAACTAATTTCTGTAACTTGAAAGAGATATAAACACATTATCTTTTATTATGATGGAAACGGCATTCAGCTTTTATTTTGGCGGAAAACATGGTTTACAAACGGGTCTTATAATTAATTAATTAATTATAATTATAATTCTAGTAAAATGCGTAATTGTCAAATATGCAGACGTGGAAATAATGCATAACTGGGTGATGGGTTCCTCACAGGCGGTGTTCTGAAAGTAGCCTAGTTCTGCTTACCACAGTTCTCTTCTACACTCACTAATGTCTCTCGTGATCCCCCTCATCAGACACTGAAGGCAGTTTCTTTTCTTTTTTTTTTTTTTTTTTTTTTTTTTTACGCCCTTTCTCTGCACATTCCTTGCGTTTCTTCTCCTTCGCTCTGACTATTTTGACAGATACTCACTGACACTGCACGCTCGCTCAGCCCAGAGGGGGAGGCGATTAAAGATGTGATTGGACCAGCCCAGTGTCAATCAAGAAAATAACCAATGGGCCGCTGATCTCCGTTTCATGGGCCGGTCTGTGAGAAAGGACTTTTTTTGTCCGATGCGTTTCAACGGCACAAAGATCCCAGCGCCGCGGCCGCTAAAACTAAACGCAATGAGCCGCTGACACGAGTTGGATGGGCAGTTAAAAAAAAATTAAAGTTTGAGATGTATCCGCCCACCGGCCCACAAAGCACGTCGGCCCATCGGGCAAGCCACGCCCGAAAACCGCCACTGGCCAATTATGTCTTAGCAACCGTAACTATGCACGGGAGGTCTGGCAAGCTTTCGAACGAGGGAACATGCTGAAGCATTGTGCGTATGGATTGTGCAAATCTGATTCCGGTATAGACGAATCCGGCGAAACTACCGGAAGTAAGCGGGGCGCCATTACTGAGCTGTTGCTGGGTAGCGTTGCGCCATTGCCTCCTATTGTTTTAGTTGCAACTTGCGTCCACTGGAATAAACAGCCCGCGATTTACGACTGTCACTAACGTTACAACGTTATCCCTTGTATAATGTCGAGTGGGTAAACAGTTTCCGTTATAAATTGTTTCAATGGTGGCAGTAAAATTTCGATTTTGAAGAGAAAACATTGTGAATACCCCGGGTCGAGTGCCCCTGTCTGGTGCCGTACGGTTTACAGATTTCCTGGGCGAGTACAAGACGTGGACATTCGCGTATAATAACAATTATTTAATGACATAAGTAAAAAAAAAATATAATAAATATGTGATATAGTGATCAGCAAAATCTCCTCTCTTGCTATTTTTTCTATTCAATTAACATGCTATGGTCATTAAATGGCTTTCCTGAGCTAAATGTAACGTTATGTGACATAATTGTTTTCCTGCTGTTATATTGACCTCTTTCCATGGTTTAAAAACACTAATTGGTCGATATTATGTATACTTTCTAGCTGTAACGTTACCTTACCCTTGCCTGTTGCAATGTGAAAATGAGATAAATAATGGACACAAATGAAAAACATGAATTTGTTTATTTGATTTCATTCATTTATTTATTTATTGTTGCCAAATGGACAGATCTTTTCATAGTTTCCTCGTTAGCAAACGTTAGCCTAGCTAGCTTTCCAAGCTATTTTCATAAATAACGTTAATCTGTAAGATCGTTTGTACCTTCATCTGTGACTGGAGGCCACCAGTGGTGGAGGAAGTACTGAATCTCAGTACTTAAGTAAAAGTACAAATAACCAGATAAATATTTACTTTAGTAAAAGTAGAAGTAACACAATGACAACCATACTTAAGTAAAAAGTAAAAAGTACCTGATTTTAAATGTACTTTAAGTATTAAAAGTAAAAGTACTTGCATAATAATTGATTCTCTTAATGTCTATTTTCTAATGATTAATAAAACATTTAATTCTAACTCATTCAACCTAATAGCCTACTCCTATAATGATGTTCAATAATGATGGAAAAAAATGTCACCATTTCTGAAACAAGCTTGCAATTAGGCAATATAAGCCATATCCTTACTATATGTTAATAACTATGTTTGGCAGTAAACGCGATTAATTTATGGTGTAATTCTGAACCTCTTGGCTTGCCATAATCCCAAACTTATATTAAACACGGTGTGTTTCCTATGCATGTAAAAACAAATTTTCGGGTATAAATTGCAAGATAAACACACTGCGTGCGAGACGCATTTAGTTGATGTATCTATGGCAACCAAACGTCACTGGTGAGACAAACGTGCAACGAACGGACGGTCAGATTACGTTTTGGCAGTGGAAAAACTGATCAGAAAATGTAAGGAAAATGTAACAGAAGTTGTAGAAATGTAGTGGAGTAGAAAGTATAATAATTGCTGCAAAATGTAACGAAGTAAAAGTAAAAAGTCTGCACTATTTATTCTACTTAAGTAAAGTAAAGATACGTGAAAAATGTACTTAAGTAAAGTAACGAAGTATTTGTACTTCGTTACATTCCACCACTGGAGGCCACTGCAGTCACAGATCAAACCAACAAGTCATTCTGCCTGGCTGTATGTCATCGAGGGTGAGTTCGCGTTATCACCGAGGTTTGTTTACATACCGGTGCATATGTCTATGCCTGTGTAACAGCTCAGTAATGGCGTCGCCACAAGATGGCAGCCTACACAGAACGCTCGTCGGATTCGTCTATACTAAAAGTTTTGACGGGGGAGAGGAATTGTTTTCTTTCCAGAAAATCTAAAAGCCAAGGGGAGAAATGATTGGCGTGATCTAGCATCTATGTGCGAGACCCATTCTGGTAAATGTCGACATGCTTAACAAAAACACCTACAGTATTGCTTGGAAATATTGACGGTTCTTTGGTCATAATGATATTACTTAAAATAAGACGATTAAAGAGACAAGACAAAGGCTCGACTGACATACTTTAAAATATTTCAGCATTTTGTTAATCGACGTCCTCGTTACCCCTTAACGTAACCCAATCCGATCGCGGCTCTCCCGGTATTAGTGTTATTATTCCACAAGATTTATTGATAAGCTGTTTGATTTATAATTATTAAGATTATTTTCACATACCCTGCTGTGTATGAATCAATTTGTGTTTCCCATACGCTCACTCAGCGCGCTGCTGCTTGCGCTGGGACTATAACGTTAGGCTTTAACTTCAATTTTTAAGAAATTATTCTCTAATCGGTTGCATATAATGTCCTGAATATATCCCTCAAATGCATAGCTACTGTAGTCCCTTTTGTCTTGCTCTCAGATATTTCACTTGTTCGCCGAAAATTACTAATTATCTCATTGGGATTGGCAATGTCTGACACCGGGTGCATCCACACTAGATGGGCCAGCCGTGAAAGCTTGACAGGCGTAGCAACAGTAACTAGGGAGGGCGGGGCTTAGCGAAGGGTCAATTGCCCGATGGCCATGCAGTCCAGCCCTGGGGATAACCCGTTTACATGCGTGAGCAGAGAGAGTTTCTCCTGTATACATGGAATTGCAATATCCCGATGTAAACGGCGACGCGCGGCAGATGTACGGACAACCTTAAAGTCCCCGTGAAATCAAAATTGAACCTATTTACTTTGTAAGTGCATATTACTAGTCTTGGGGTGAACAATTAATCCGTGCAAGTAAATATATTTTAAAAAAAATGTTTTATTGGTAATATCAAAATCTGAAAAGTTACTTCCGGTCTGGAATGGTTTCTTTTTCTGATGACGTAGGTTTCACAGCTTGGGTGGGGCAGAGCCAACGGCTGGGGTGGGGAAACGCTTAACCACTCCCCTCAAACCGCTAGTTTGCTCTGATTTGTCGCTGGATACTCTAAAGTCCAGAGTCAGTGGTTCTGGTGTGTGTGATGGTCAGAGATCCAGTCTTCTCATCCAGTGTCAGTCTGTCTCTGAATCTCTCAAAGTTATTTCCTTTGATTTTAGCTATGAGAGTGAGACTGTTGTTGTGTCCAGTTCTCCAGGTTATCAGTTCACCTGTCTGTATTTCAGTATCAGTGTTTAGAGTGACATGCACGGCATCAACACCAAACACTCCTGAACAACACACAGAAACAGTTTCTCAAAACGAAGCTTTTAGCCATATTTAAACTATTTGAACTAAACTGTCAGGGCAAAACAAATTTTCAAAGCACTTATTTCAATGTACAATTCAATAATTTTTAATATTTAAAAACTTTCATATTGGAAGGGAAAATCGGGAACGTTCAGAACAGCAATATGAACTCAAAAATATTTTAGTCTGATAAAACATAGCCTACATTTTATGGGAAATATTACGAGCAGAGGAATGTGTGGACGAATAATATAAACTGAAGTAAAGCCATAAAAATACTTACCATACAGACTCCATGAACACACACAGAAGAAAATAAACACCTCAGACATTTTTTTTTTTTTTTTTTTTCAGAATTTTGCCAGAGAGTTTCACTACAGGAATATTATGATAACCAGTTCTGGCGCTCTTGAAAGTGTTGAATGTGTAGCCGGTGTAGGGAAGTGGTTTCGTGAAACTCTGCAGTGTCAATAAACTCCTGCAGTAGCTCCGCCCGCACAGACTGAATGTGACTTCTAACAGAGTATAGAACATGATAAGGTTCAAATGATAAGGTTCAAATGCATTTTCTATTATTAAAACCAACATGAATCTCTAGGCAAGAGGTTCTAAAGAAATGACCATATTAAACTGAGTGTGTCAGATATACATAAAGAGTGGGGCCCCAGGAAATAGCATGAAGCTACTGCTTGTCTGAAGTCAAAATAGAGTCAGATATCGCAGGAGAAGTGAAATAGAGGAGCTGCTTTATAAACCTACAGAAGAAACTAACACAGATACACAGAATAATATCACAGGAAGGCCATGTGAAATCTGTTGGTTCATACTGTATTTGATAACTGACGTACAAAATCAGACAGAGTTTGCACTTTAAACAACCATCTGACTGAATATGTTCTATGTTGACAGGCTCTCCATGTAGAGATATCTCCTGTGGCTCCATCTAGTGGCTGTAAGAATAATCTCTTTTGATGACGCCTAGCATGACAAATCCGGAGGATGAATGAGAAAAACATTCACTATCAGTTAATCATACAGAGGCAGTAATAACATTTTTTTCCATTTCATTACAATTGCTGTCACTATTTTGGACAGTTAAAGAAAGAGAAGGAGTTGGTTAATGCACTGAATAAGAAACCATTCTCATATCATCCTTTTTAGGGTCATTACTACACATTTCATCATGTGTCTAGGAGCTACACTAACTTCTCAAATAAAAAGAAGTTTTCTAACGAAATAAGTGACTTGAAACGACCTGCCGTCATAAACACGACTTCCCACCTCGAAAATACTATACGAACTGGATAACTTAAATGCAACATTTGTCATTAAAATCAAACTCACAATGCAGAACTGACACAAAGTCAGTTAAATACATATATTAGTTCAAGGGACCACAGAAGCACAATAGGGTCATTCCTGGTATGCAGTGACTTTTCCTGTCCCAATGATTTATATACTCAAATTTTCTCTAAAATGAGTCACATATTTATAATAAATGGCTTATAGATTTAAGTATTCTTTACAATTTAAACAGAGATAATAGAGAGTAGCTCCAGTTACTCCAGAAATGCTAGAAGGGTGAGATTCAACTGTAAATACTGTGAAAATCTGCTAATTAAAAAATACAAAATAATAATTATGAATGTCATTTTAAAAACACATTGTCATGTGAGGAGACCATTTCATAAATCCATCTCTGGAAACACAGAGGATTTCAGTCACCAATTCACAATTTTCCAGGATAAACATTAAAGACAATAAAAATGTATTGTTTAATTGAAAATCAAAGTCTGTTGATATTTCCTGATCAAACACACAAGCTCACTGAATAATATACTGTCACGTTTCACATGAGCTTCTAGTGATGATGATTCAGATTGAACCTGAAAAAACAAATTTAGGCAATGAATGCATAACTTTCAAATGTATGGCAAAACATTTATCTTAGTGGGGAAATAAATAAACTTGGTTTACTTCCAAAACTGCATGTCATTTCTATTTCTTTCAATGTTCAAGGAATTTACAGCATACTATTTAAATTTTAATGCACTTTTAATTGTGCATTTCTGCATAACATTCTGCATTACCATTGTGTTTGGCCCTTTTACCACGGTGGTAAAGAAAAATGGAAACAAATTTTTCCAAAACATTTTTATTTTTAAAGTATCCGTTTCAACACAATACTTTGTCATAAAAGTTGAAATATAGAATTGATCATATTGTGAAACAAGGCTACCAACCAACAGAATTGATGTTCCAGCATTGTAAAATGAAAGATGTGCTTAGTTTAATTACATTTGTAAGTGTATGGTGTCTGCAGACAAGAGTATAAGGAGACGCGTCATGAATCCTACAGACTGAGAGTTTGAGAACCATTGGTTTTCAATAACTGATGTACAAAATCAGAGACAGTTTCCACTTTAAACAACCATCTGATTGAATATGTTCAGAGATAAAACAGTAAAAACGTAATCAATCGATGGTTTGGTTCAATAATAATAATAATAATAGCTGTAGTGTTGGTGTTGTGCACAGACTTACGGTGGGAAACGGTCATATGCAAGTTTTATATATTTACTTTTTTTTTTAATCAGTGACGAGCTGAGTCTTACAATGATTTACACTTCAAAACATAAGACCTACCTATTTCCATTAAAATATATATATAAACACTCACATATGTGAGTATAAACATAACATAATGGGAACCAAACGGTCCAAGGGAACCAAACGGTTCACAATGGGAACCAAACGGTTCAAGGTCGAAAGAAGAGTTTTAGTGCAGCTTCAAAGGGCTTTAAACGATTCCAGACGATGAATAAGGGTCTTATCTAGCGAAATGATCGCTCATTTAAAAAATAAATAAAAAGTTTAAGTTTTATAAGCTCAAATGCTCGTCTTGCTCTGTTCTGTGATGCGCGTTCGTGACTCTCCTGTTCAAACTCGTTCATCAAAATGAACAAATCTTTTTCGAGTCATGACTCGAAGGGTCCTTGATAAGGCCCTTATTCATCGTCTGGCGTTGTTTAAAGCCCTTTGAAGCTGCACTGAAACTCTCATTTGGACTTTGAACCGTTTGGTTCCCAATGAAGTCCATTATTTGGAGAAAATTCATCAAAAACCTTAATTTCTTTTCGACTGAAGAAAGAAAGACGTGGACATCTTGGATGACATGGGAGTGAGTAAATCATCAGCAAACGTTTTTTTAAAAAAGTGAACTGAACAATTTCAAAACACAATAAAATACAAAAAGAAATAATAAAATAAAACAAGAGAAATAGATAACACAATATTAATGCATATAATCCAAACCTATAGTCCTTACAAAGTAGCAAAGGCAACATAAAACAAATGCGTCTTAAGACGGGTAAACCATTCCACAACTTTGGGGCACTAACTGAGAAAGCGTTGTTAGGCACGGCGTGGAGAAGACACCCCCTTAGCAGTTCTAAATGCACTGTAAAACACGGCCTCAAGGGGCTTATTGCTTTTATAAAAGTCCATACTCCATAAAAACATTCATTTTACTATTTAATTTTATATATATATAAAAACAGCAATAATAATTATAACATTATAACATATTCCTCCACCAAGCAATGTAGTTTCAAAGAGGTCGCCAAGTAACACATGCAGCAACAAAGAATCACAAACTGCAGTTGCGCAGTAATACTAATGTAAAGCGGTCACGAGTGTATGTTTGTTGAGTAATTTACATTGGCTTCAAACGCGATTCAACCAATCAGAATCAAGGACCGGAACTATCTGTTTTATCCTTAAACCTGACCCTAATTACTTACAAATACAAATCTTTTCTGTATATAAAGCGCAAGATAGATATAATGTAAAAAATGTAAGAATCAGATTTAAGATTAGCAACATTTTATAGTACGTAATGGTTGAGTTTAGTCCCAATTTCATATACCGAAGAGCCATATTTCAGCTGGTAGGACCCATTTGAGCAGAGACCAAGCCCTTCTACTTTCTGTGTTCCTCCTGCAAAACATCAAATTTCCATTATTGCTACATTATTACATATGACATTATTACATACAGCACATTGACAAGGTTGTTGTCAAGGTGTTACTTATTTAAGCACGTTATTAACGACATTAAATTAACTTTCTTATGCCATACATTTTGAGTGTGTAAATATTTAGATATAGTTTAGCATGGCTGCTAAACGGTGTGAGTGAATGTTTTTGCGTAGAAGATTTAACTTATTCTTACTTATTACACATCTCTGTGAAATACTCAGTCGAGAATATCTGAACATAGAACATTCATTTTATGATATACAGACATCACATCACACATGGATTTATCTTTATAGACAGTAGCGAGGCTCTTCTGTGGACCCTCACCTGATGATTACTGGTCTCTCTTTCATAAAACCTGGGAAACCAACAATCTTTCTCTAGTCTGTAAGGCGAAACAAGGAAAAAAATAATCAGTGTTTACTGGAACAAAGTGCAAATTAGTAACTGTATTTATTTATTTATTTTATGTATTAGCTTTAAATATAATCAATTTCAAATATTGGGTTACTGTAAAGGAGAAACACATGCTGATGAGTGAATGAATATATGATGTGAATGATGAAACGGAGCAAAAATTCTGAATTGAAACAAAAATAAGTCAAACTTCCACTACTTAAAGCTGCCGTTCCACAAGTTTAAACATGTTTATAGGGGTGTTAGTAAATAACTGACAGTAAAATAAGTGTAAAGTAGTGTGATGTGTGGTTTGTGAAAGTAAAAACACACAAGAGACAGACATTTGTAATTGAAACAAACGACATACACTCCTTCCCCACATCCCCCCACTCTTGCAGAGATCACCAACACTCACACAAGAGTTAATATGGGTTTAATGTGAATTATTAAGGATTGTTTAGTATCATTTTAAAGGTCTCAGAGTGACTGCTATAGAGGTCCCATTCCCAAAGAAGTAAAAGAAAAGGTAATAAGGTTTTTAAGAAGTTTAGGAATGCTAATTTCCACTGGCCATCTTCTTCCCCCAGTAAGTATAGTGGGGGTGAACAGTAACTTTCCACTGTAAACTGATGTTTTACATATCAAATGAGGTCTTGCTATATAAGGAAATCTCTGTATCAGATCAGCCCGTGATATGCCGTGTCTTTGAGTCTCCTCTAATCGAACGCCGCCTTTGGATCGATTTAGTCTTACGTGAGGCAGGACGACTTTGAGCTGAAGCTGGAATCTGCACTGATTTTACCTACAGTCTGTTTAGATGAAGCTCTATTTATTATGACAAACAAAAAAAAATGTACTCACCTCAGGTGACAGTTTGAGTCTTGTAGCGTGTCAATGAGCGTGTCCTCTGAGTAGTCAATTCTATTGTTTCTCAGATCAAGCTCTTTCAAAAACTGCAGTGCTTTTGTTTTAGTCAAAGACTGAGTTAGAATAGAAACATCTGTAATGCCACAGTCATTTAGACTAGAATGAGAAAAAAAGATATAAAAGTAAATTATTTCACAGACAATTTTCATTGAAAGGTTGAAAATTAGACAAATATGTTCACAGATTCTTCAAGGTTTTGCGTATTGAAGAATTAGTTTACCCAAAAATACATTTTGGTCCAAAAGTAACAAAAACTACGACTTTATTTAGCATTGTATTGTCTTCCGGTTGTGTTGTGGATCCGTGTTCAGTGCTGACGTAAGACGAGGCTGACGTGTGTCTGGTGTGCCAGTCTGAGGGAGGCGTGCGCTGTAAACAAAACAATCTTCGCAAACATGTCTAAGGATTTTCACACAGAGGAAGACTTGCATTTCTTTGCCCAGCCATATTTATTTGAACCTGAATACACGAACGCACCGGATTACACGTCAGCAGCGTCACTGAACGCGGATCTAAAACAGAAACGGAAGACGATACAATGCGGAATAAAGTCGTAGTTTTTGTTATTTTTGGACCAAAATTTATTTTTGATGCTTCAAAACATTGTAACTAACCCACTGATGTCACATGGACTACTTTGATGATGTCTTTATTAACTTTCTGGACAAGGACAGTATCCCGTACATACATTTCCAATAGAGGGACAGAAAACTCTCGGATTAAATCTAAAATATCTTAAACTGTGTTCTGAAGATGAACGGAGGTCGTACGGGCTTGGGACGACATGAGGGAGAGTCATTAATGACATCATTTTCATTTTTAGGTGAACTAACCCTTTAAGTGTTTTAAACTATTCTCTCTTGCATTGATTTTAAATTATTTTGATTCATGTCTGTGAATGTTACTGACCTTAGACTTTCCAGTGTACAGTTTAAATCTTTCAGCACGTCACATAAGTGCTTCACTCCTTTGTTTTGTATATTATTCATACTGAAGTCCAGCATTCCCAGGTGTGATGGGTTCGATTTCAGAGCTGAAGTCAGGATGAGACACTGTTTCTCTGTAATACTGCATCCACACAGACTGAAGGCAGAAAGAGAAATAGATCAGATCTGTGTTAAGTTTGTGTGCATCAAGAGTCATTAATATAGTAGCAAAATCATGGAAAATGTATATGATCACAAACCAAAGCAAGGCACTTTGAGGATACTATTTACAATTGAGGTGATACACATACAAACCCACTGACTATTATTATTTATCAATCTTTCTTCATATCGAGAAACAACAGAATGTACAGCACTATAAATTACGTAACTTGAGTCCTGCTGTCCGAAAATAAGGTAAACAGTACACTTCAATCACAATGTAACTGCTGTACATTTTAATGACACTTACTGTAGTTTTTCCAGTTTGCATTGTGGGTTCATTAGAAGATCACTGATGTTTTTAACTCCAGAGCCTCCCATTTCATTAATACTCAGGTCCAGCTCTATCAGGTGTGATGGGTTTGATTTCAGGGCTGAAGTCACAGCAGAACAACCTTCATCTGTCATTGCACAGCATCTCAACCTACAATGAGATAAAGAGGAACAAATATCTTCATTCCACTTCATTCCATACTCAAATCCACACAAAAAAGTTCTTTGTTGTATGTGAAAGTTCCTCACCACAATCTCTCCAGTCTACAGTGTGTATCATTCAGCACGCCACATAAGTGCTTCACTCCAGTGTTTTCTATTCGATTAAAACTGAGGTCCAGCTCTCTCAGATGTGATGGGTTTGATTTCAGAGCTGAAGTCAGGATGAGACACTGTTCTTCTGTAAACCCGCAACCAAGCAGACTGAAGACAAAAAGAACAATGAATCAGATTCATGATGACCATCATACTGAAAGAGCTACAGTCATTTAGTCTGTAGTTCCAAAATACAGACGCATTTAACTCTCACACTAGTTTCCTTTCAATTATTAGCCACAGGACTTTACGTCGTGTACTGGCGTAATGGGATCTCACCTGAGAGCCCCAATCGCCTTTGTGAGGCAAGAATACAAGCCAATGGAACATTGGCGAGTGAGATTGCATCATATCCACTCCCCTTTACTCTGAGTATATAGAAGCGAGCAGCTCACTCGTTCAAGCTTTCGGTTCAGAGCCGAGTGTGATATTTCCTCTCTTCAACCTTTTTGAGTTGAAAGCCTACGGAAAGAAATGTTGGTGGTACGGCGCAACAGCGGTGGTCACGAGAGAGAGAGACTACCGCTCTGTGTACCGCTCGGCTACTCAATGAAAATTTGAACGAGTGAGTGCGAACTTGCTTCCTTATATACTCGTAGTGATTAATCAGTTACTACCAGCACTGATTATTAAACACCTAATTTTATTTGTGACAGTAAGACATTTCATAAGGTATATTGGCTATGGTAGAACCAATATAACAGGTCCATTGGTGCAATATGTTACTTACTGTAGTTTTTCCAGCTTGCATTGTGGATTCATCAGAAGATCACCAAGGTTTTCAAATCCACAGTCACCTAATTCATTCAAACTCAGGTCCACCTCTATCAGGTGTGATGGGTTTGATTTCAGAGCCGAGGTCACAGCAGCACAACCTTCATCTGTCATATCACAGTACCTTAAACTGCAGTGAGAGAAAATGAGAGCATCAAAGATAGTTTGAAAAGATAGTAAACTCATTTTGCACTTTGATTTTTATTTCAGCAGATATATAACCACAAATGTCATGTGAATTCTGGCTCTTCACAAAATACTGAGTATAAAGTAAACGATTAAGCTTGTTGATTCTTGTGTGTGAAAATTACTGACCCCAATCTCTCCAGTTTACAGTCTGAGTCCTTCAACGCATCACATAAGTAATTAACTTCTCTATTTCTCATTTGATTCTCACTGAGGTCCAGCTCTCTCAGGTGTGATGGGTTTGATTTCAGAGCTGAAGTCAGGATGAGACACTGTTCCTCTGTAATACTGCAATTAAACAGACTGAAGACAGAAAGAGAAAGACAAATAAGGTCCCAATTCATAAAACATCACGAGTTTGTCATAAAACAAACGGATGTGTTTACCCATTACAAAGGCAAAATATGGTACAAAAGGAGGACAAGGGGAGGATGAGGGATGCCAAAAGTCCTAACGACGAGAAATGATAAGAGACTGGTTTTTATACCTTGGTATTAATTAGAAGATTAGAAGAGCATACTCCCTCGGAATTATGTATTAGCTTCACAACTAACTACTGACTTGTTGTTTTAGGAAAAATTCTTAAAAATAATGGGCATTTCGGTCCTAATTTTAGGACATTAGGAGGGCCTTTCACAAAGCATTTTAGAACTAAAACTAGCTCCTTAATCTGTGAATCTTTAGGAGTAGTCATGAGGACTCCTAAATCACTTAGACAAAACCACTAACAATCCTAATGGCTGTTGCGGACCTTTCTCCCCTTTCTCTCTTCCGCTTCGCTTTCTGTCTACTTACTGTCCTATCTTAACAAAAAGGCAAAAATGCCAACAATTTATAAATAAAATATAAAATAATACACTTAGAATTTATCAAATAGAGTTAAATGATAAAATAGTGTTGTCTGAGGGGATCAAGGCTCCCAGTTTAGCCCAAACCCAGAGTTCTGTGCAGTATCCCCAGCTGAAAGTGAGGAACGGTACCTGATACCTCGATTTACAATATATCTATGATTAAATCACTGACAGCCAATCAGCCAATCATAGTTAGTAACCTTGTTGACATCAACCACAGCAATAAGTCAACCTTTACCGCTTTTTGGGAGAACTAAAAGGTGAAATAAAATGTTTTGTGAATACAGCCACAGATCTATAATGAACATCTTACTGAATTGCTAAAGTTATTTAGTCTCTGTCTAAGTCTGCTTTTTGTGATGGAATCTATCATTCGTTTTTCTTTTTTAAACTATTACATTTTTGTAACTTTTGTTTATGGTAGCCGGAGATGTTAATCTCATAATATTACAGCAGAACAACATGCACACAATCACTTAATTTTACAAAATACGTTTAATTAAATTATTTACTAGTTAGACATCCAATAAGAAATTGCAATGCTGTATAATTTTGTAAATTGGGTTCAGTGAACTTAAACGTTGCAATAGGTGATTCTGCACAGAAGCATTTCAAATTCTTATTATACTGGTTGAAAATCTCATATCCTGATAGCAATCACTGCAGTTTGTTAAATAGTCGAAATAAATGTAAAAATATATTATCGTCTGTGGAAGGCATACGACCATACAATTTTAATTCAATCATTATATTTGGTCCGAATAAAATACAATGTCCTTCCTGCCTGTCAACATGTCCTCACACCAGCTGTCCGTGCAGACATCGTACGTCATTAGCGCATATCACTAACCTCAGTCACTGAACACCGCAAAAGAAACAGCAGCCACCTTTTACAGTTCCTACCGAGTCAAAACAATGAGTTTCTGTTGTGTTCACGCCATAACTACTGTAATCAGTGACGATCTACCCGGAGCTGTTCAGTCAGATTCAGAATTATGCCTTTCCATGTCAACAGTGTCAACACCAAAATGAGTTATGCAGCAGTCAGGTAAAAAGTCTCTAATTTTTTTACATTCATTATTATTGCAATGTTATGTGCTTTGAAGCATGATGTAGTTTAACGCCGTCTCTTGTGAGGTACAGTAGTATTGGCAATGTGTGTGCGCCTTCATGTGTTTTGGAGGAGGTGTGGCTTTGGACTGCGATTTGCAGGGAAGGTGAGATCGTATGCTTTCAACGCTAGCAGGCTAGCGCTTGCATTTCCCAGATCACGTAATGCACCTAAATTTTAAATCACAGTGTAACTGCTGAACAGTATAATGATACTAACTATAGTTTCTTAAGCTTGCATTGTGGGTTTATCAGGAGATGACTGAGGTTTTCCATTCCAGAGTCTCCTAGTTTATTCCAGCTCAGCTCCAGCTCTCTCAGGTGTGATGGGTTTGAATTCAGGGCTGAAGTCACAGCAGAACAACCTTCATCTGACATATAGCAACTTCTTAACCTACATTGAGAGAAAAAGAGAAAAAACTCTTTATTTTGAAAAGCCACATGATATTTATAAACAAAAAAAAAAAGATCTCAAAAAACTACCCTGAAGACCTTTTTACGTATTATGTGGACTCGATTCTTCACGAGAAGCTTTTAAACTGTTGAAGTGATTTTAAGCATTTTGATTCTTGTGGAAGTTACTGACCTCAATCTCTCCAGTTTACAGTGAGAATCCTTCAGCATGTCACATAAGTGCTTCACTCCAGTGTTTTTTATCCGATTCACACTGAGGTCCAGCTCTCTCAGGTGTGATGGGTTTGATTTCAGAGCTGAAGTCAGGATGAGACACTGTTTCTCTGTAATACTGCATCCAAACAGACTGAAGACAGAAAGAGAAAGAGTGGTGACAGCAATTTTAGTATTGGTTGTGAAAGTGGTGGGTTACGGCTAATCCTGGAGCTGCAAGTTTTAAATCTGGCACAAGCTCCAGTTCAAAATGATAACGCGAAAACACATTTTTGGGTGCACCCGTCCCCCAGATGGGTTTGCAGCTATCGACCTGAAGGATGCGTACTTTCATGTCTTAATTTTTCCTCAAAACAGACATGCGGCGTTCGTATTAGTGCCCGACCGATAAAGGATTTTGAAGGCCGATACCGATACAAATATTTTTTGGTTTTAAAATCCGATATGCCGATATATCGGCCGATATATATATTTTTTTTTCAGAAAGGCGCAACAAAACATTAACAGATTTCCCTAACATTAGTTATTTGTAGTTATTTATGAGTTTTAACCAAAATAATATGATAATGCATTTTAAAAAGAAACTTTCGAAAAGTTTATTTTATTGTCACAACAGAACAGACTGATGATAGTGGCATTAGATAGCTTTATGGTTAGCTAGTCTATGATGAACCATAATTTAGCAATGGATAACATCATACTGCAAATTGTAAAACATACATTTTCAATATAACTGGCCAAGGAAACTTCCGCCGGCTACAAATTTTGTCGTGCTTATTTGAGTTACGAGAACTGATGGGGATGTTCTTTTAATTGTTATTCAAGCAATGTATGTATCGTGACCAACTCAACGAGTGTTGCCAACAGGAATGGTGTAGAGTGCCCTCTGGTGAACAAACTACACAACACTCATGACATGGTTCAAGCGTGTTTCGTCCGTTTTTATTTTATTTTTGAAATATTCATTTATCGGCCATTATAACTGCCGATACCGATAGTTTGGAAAATGCCTAATATTGGCAGATAATATTGGCCTGCCGATATATCGGTCTGGCTCTAGTTCGTATTCTCAACTACCTTAACGACTGGCTCATCTTGGCTCAGTCGCGAGAACACAGGGACATGGTGCTCAGTTACCTCAGCCAGTTGTGCCTTGGAGTAAACTAGGAAAAGAGCAAATTCTCCCCTGTACAAAGGATCTCTTTTCTCGGTAAGGAGACTCAGACTCACACCTCACAGAGGAAAATGCTCGGTCAGTGTTGAACTGCTTAAATTCGTTCAAAGGCAGGAGAGCGGCCTGTAAAGCCGCTAGGAATGCTTCATATGAGCCAACTTCAGCAATGGCTTCAGGATTGAGTCCTGAGTAGGTGTGGCAGAGCGACACGCACCACTACCCTGTACTTTCGCAAACCTTCAGACCGTAGTCCGACCCTTTGTTTCTACAGGCAGGACTTCCCCTAAAAACAAGTTTCCAGGCATGCTGTGGTTTTCTCGGATGCCTCTGCCACCGTCTGGGGGTCCACGTAAATAGGGGCACGCAGTTTCGGGTAGCTTGACAGCATTGGCACGTCAACTGCCTTGAGTTGCTAGCAGTACGTCTCACGCCGGGCCCCTTTGAAGTGTAGCAACTTACATGGCATGCACATACTGGTCCGTGCTGACAGCACTGTGACCGTTGCGTGCAACAACCGTCGGTGGGTCTACACTCCCGCCACAGTTGGCAACTTGCCTGGCCTCTCCTCTGGAGTCAGATGCATCTGAGGATCTGCTCAATCGTGCAGCCGACAAGCTGTCATGACAGCATGCACTTCAGAGAGAGAGAGTAGCAACTCCATCCCCAGTTGGTCCAGCTGATTTGGAGATGCATCGGAGCCACTCAAGTAGACCTGTTTGCCCCTCCAGGACACATCGCAATGCCAGTTGTTTTACTCTCAGACTGTGGGGATCCCCAGCATGGATGCACTGGCACACAACTGGCCCCAGGACCTATCCAAGTATGCGTTGGACACTGTGGAAAGTCAGGGAGGATAGGAGTAGGTATTGCTAATTGCGCCCTATTGGCCAAAAACTGACCCTGGTTCCCAGAATTCGGGCTTCTCACAACAGCCCCTCGCTGGCGCAATCCTCTGAGGAAGATTTGGTTATTTCAGCAAACAGTTTCGTAAATTTAACTTAACAGCATACAGTTACATTTCTATTTAACATTCAACGGAAATGTGCGCGTGCATTTTATACACTTACATTATGTTCCAAGCAATAAATGCTCGTCCTTGAATAAGCGATGTTTTATTTCTGTTTACGTTTCAAGTGCAGCCAAAAAACATAAATGTCGACTCATTTTATTTCAATTGTATCTGAAAGTCCCCAGAGCCAATTATTCACTTTATGAAGTATATTAAATTCGATATCTCAGAGACCAATTTCGAGACCGATTCTTTTTTAACCAATTTGTTTAAATAAACTGGTACACAATTAATAACATTGAATGATTCATTGGTGAATTCGACTGATCAAGAATCTCAGCATGACTACTTACTGATTCAAAGATAAGACATAGCAAGATAAAATAAACAAAAAACATCTGAATTTTGTCTCAAATTAAGTGCGCTCTAGACTAATTGAAATCTATTTAAGCTCTATCTTATTTGTCTGTCATTAGACACCTCTCTTTTGTAGATTTGTAACTGGATTGATGACATTCGCTCATCAGTACAAGCACAACTCGGACCTACACCAACTACGAACAAAGTCTCTATCAAGTATACCTATTGAAGTCGAATGAGCCAATCAGAGTAAGTGTGGGGCGGGCGACACATAGAGCTGCAGCCAGGTGTACTTGGCCTATGTTAACTTACTAGTAGATTATGTAAGATGTTACACTCACTGAATTGTGTTGAGTTTACAGTGTTCATCCTGCAGTAGAGCAGCAATCTGATTCACTCGTGTCTCTCCTAGTTCACGTCCACTCAGATTTAGCTCTCTCAGGAGTAATGGGTTTTTACCAAGAACACTATTCACATACTGACAGGCTTCATCTGCAGCAGCACCCAAAAACCTGAAGAAGGGAAAATGAAGCAGGATTCAATTTGGTGTCCCCTGCATGACAACACGTTAAACATTGGGTATTGTATGAGCAAGTTTTGTGAAACACTTACGATAGACAGTGTAGGAGCCATTTATACCTTCACCTTTTGTGGATAGGTTAATATTGGTATTACCTACTCTAGCCACTTGGTGGGAGTGTTGCACTGGGTGTGACATCACTGGAAATTAAGTATATTTACAGCCAGGTGTGGTAATCAGTTAGGTATGGTGTGGATGGTGAGGAACACACGGTTCTTACCATAGCCGTGAGCACCCACTTTACCAACAGCACGACAGCACTTTAATATTTAGCACTGGGTGAAGTACCATTTTAATGTAAATTATTCCCTTTCATACTTTTATAATAAACGGGAACACCACCCAAAAGAGAGCAAATGTTTGGACTCTGCAATTTCTGCTACGCGTTGAGAACATCATGCCATCTATGCCGAGACCTATAGGATAGCCTCAACAGTGTGCGTTTAGTCTATGACATTTGTTTATTGTATTGTTTTTTTTACCCCTGTTATCTCTGTGAAGCTGCTTTGAAACGGTCTTAAATAAATGTGACTTGACATGCTTTCCATTACTATACTCCAATGGAAAACCAAAATGTGCCCACACAGGAGACTTAAATTTTTCCGGGGGGTCTGCAATTTCAATATGATGCGGAGTTGCCATTCCCGCAAAATTGCTAATGTAAACTGTTTGGTTACCAGTAAAGTGCATTATATGGAGAAAAGTCCTGGAGTGTTTTCATCAAAAACCTTAATTTCTTTTCGACTGAAGACAGAATGACATGGATGACATGTGGGTGAATAAATTATCAGCAAAAGTTTTTTTTTTTTTTAAAGTGAACTACTCCTTTAAAGTGTACAACGTACAATTTAATCGAATGTCAATGAAGAAAAATTTGTTGTCTGCCATTAGGTAAAGTGATAGCTGGGCCGGGGCATGTTCAGTGTGACATTAGAGTATCTAGGTTCGTATCGTGGGTTGTGTATTGCCTTTTTCTATAAATAATTCTCCTGAATATCTAATATTTTGTATTGTTTCATAATGTCTCACCTCAGTGTCTTCAGTTGACAGTTTGGATCCAGTAGTAAATCACTGAGCTCCTGCATTCCTGATTCTCCAGGATCATTTCCTGTGAGATCCAGCTCTATCAGATGTGAAGGGTTTGATCTCAGAGCTGAAGCCAGAGCTTTATAACCTTCTTCTGTGATACTGCACTTTGAGAGTCTATAACAGGATTCAAAATTCAACATTCAGCTGATTAAGCAGTTTATTCTAGATCTAGAAATTACCTGAATATGCTTTAATCTAAATCAACTTACCTAAAAATCAACCTACCTCAAACCTAATCTAAACAGTTTGAAGATTGCAAGCAAAATTATAATTGTTGCCTAAATTTGAATACCAGAGTTTGTTTGCAACAATATGGATAAGCCGACTTCTCATGTGGATAATACTTTGTTTAATCAACCATCTGGTGACATCGATACTTAAATATATTGCGGCGGAACTTTTCTCATTGCGATTATGTCACTGAGCCACTGCCGACCCCTCAATCTCCCAAAGTATATTATTTACTATCCTCGGCAGAAGTATATTCAGAGCGGGTCTTGACGGATTTATATATATGACGACACAGATTCAATATAATGGTTTTGGTCGTCCACACCACGTCCTTCAAGAAGTTAAGACAGACTGTTGTTCACAGTGGGCTTGCCAACTTTTTGCACTTTTACAGGTTTGCATGATATGTCCCCTTTAAACTGTGCCTGAAAGAAGCATCAACAGCCTTCACAATAAAAGTCTCACTTCTGTAAAACATGCATCTGTTGTTGTTTCTTTGACTGCACACCCAGTCAAAATGGTCTTATGACCCTTTAGTTGAGATTTTAGTCTGTTTTAGTCTCTCAAACACAGCTTACCTAATAATCTCCAATGTACATTTTATATTCTCCAATCCAGTGCAAAGCAGCTTCACTCCTGAGTCCTGTAGATTATTGTTGTTCATGTTCAGCTCTTTCAGACTGGTGTCTGATTCAAGAACTGTAGCCAGAGCTGAACAGCTTCTCTCTGTTAAGTCGCAATCATTTAGCCTACAAGGGAAATTTCACATCACAAAAACAGACAAATACTAAATATATTTTCCATTATTTTTACATGAATAGTAAAATAAGGGTGAGCTACACTGACATTATGCGTAAACTAACTACTTCTACTATTAGTATTTTTGATTCAGTGACAACTTTGCTAAACAAATCAAACAAGCATGTATGAATTGTTTTAAAAGGTTTAAAGCTTCAACAACAATGAGTTATACATTTGAAAGTGCTATTCTATCAACTTGATGAGGTGTCTTTAGGTGGAGAATATGGAGGTTAATGATTTGATAATTTAGGTAATTGGCAAAACCTAATGTCTTTCATTGCAGTCAAAGTTGGAGTAGAAATAACTATAAACTGATGTTGACAAAATGATATAATGTACATAACTTACAGAGCTCTTTTAGAGTTTTTGATTACTGCCAACAGTCTAATAAGACACTCGTCTGATTTCTTTAATTTCTGAAGTTCAAACTCCCCCAGCTCTTCCTCTGATGTCAGTAACACAAAGACCAAAGCAGACCACTGGGCAGGTGAAAGATCAGCAGATGAGAGACTTCCTTTGCTAAGGTGGCTTTGAATGTCTTTCACCAGAGTTTGATCATTCAGTTCATTCAGACAGTAGAACAGATTGATGGATCTCTCTGGAGACAGATTATCATCTAATTTCTGCTTGATGTACTGAACTATTTCTTTGCTGCACTGGTCATTGAATTCTTGCTGTATCAACAGTCCTCGTAAAAGCAGCTGATTGGACGGGAGTGACAGACCGAGGAGGAAGCGAAGGAAAAGGTCCAGGTGTCCAGTTTCACTCTCGAGCGCCTTGTCCACTGCAGTCTTGAGCAAATCAATCATGGCTTCATTGTTGTTTTCCAGTTCTGTAGACTCTTGATCAAACACACTTTTCTTGTTGATGTGTAGAAACAGATGAGCATAAAAGGCAGCAAAAAACTCTTGAATGCTCAAGTGAACAAAGCAGTACATGGTACCAAGAACGATCCCTCTTTCCTCCTTGAAGATCTGGGTACACATGCCTGAATACACTGATGCTTTAAAGACGTCAATACCACAGGATTCCAGGTCTGATTCATAGAAGAGCAGGTTGTTTCTTTCCAGGTGATGAAATGCCAGTTTCCCCAGTGAAAGGATGGTGTCTTTATCCCAAGAAACATCTGGTGTGTCTTCTCCATACTTTCGTTTGCTCTGCTGGATCTGAAAGCGGAGAAAGTGTGTGTACATTTGTGTCAGAGTCTTGGGAGTGTCTTCAGTTTTTGATTCCTGCTGTGTTTTAGAGGCTTCCAGGGCCTGATTGCTTCTCAGATCATTATTTCTTTTTTCTTCCAAAATGTTCTGGAGAACTGTGGCTGAAATCCAGCAGAAGACTGGGATGTGGCACATGATAAAGAGACTCTTTGATTGTTTGACGTTGTCAATGATTTCATTGGCCATTTTCTCATCTGTGAATCTTTTTCTGAAGTACTCTTCCTTTTGTGCATCATTGAATCCTCGTATCTCCGTCACCCGGTCGATACATTCAGGAGGAATCTTACTGGCAGCGGCTGGTCTGGTGGTGATCCAGATGAGAGCAGAAGGAAGCAGATTTCCCTTGATGAGGTTCGTCAGGAGAACATCCAGAGAGGTTGGTGAGGATACGTCACGCCACATCTCATTACTTTCAAACCTCAGAGGAAGGCGACATTCATCCAATCCATCAAGGATGAACAGGACTTTGAAATTATTCCTTTTTGTAAAGGAATTCAGTCCTTTTGTTTCTGGGAAAAACTGAGTTATAAGGTCCATCAAACTTGGTTTTTCTTTCTCCTTTAAGTTCAACTCTCTGAATGGAAGAGGAAATATGAAGTTGATATCTTGATTTTCTTTTCCTTCAGCCCAATCCAGAACAAACTTTTGCACAGAGACGGATTTCCCGATGCCAGCAACTCCTTTTGTCAGAACAGTTCTGATCTCCTTGTCTTGTTCAGGTACTTCAAACAGATTTTTGCATTCAACCAGTACTTCTTGTGATTCAGAACGTCGGGAAGCAACTTCAATCTGTCTTACCTCATGTTCAGAATTGACCTGTTCACTGCCACCCTGAGTGATATAGAGATCTGTGTAGATGTTATTCAAAAGTGTAGAATCACCTTGCTTTGCAATTCCTTCAAAAACAAATTGATACTTCCTCCTTAAGCCACATTTTAGCTGATGACCGAAGACAAGCATATCTAAACAAACAAACAAACAAACAAAAAAACAGTTTCAGTTTTAATTTTCTCTCCTACATTTATAAGTGATAATCTGACAGGTCATGAGTCTCTTACTTTCTAGATTATCAGCAGCTTCATCTTGCTTCATCTCTCTCAGGTAGTGTAGAACGAGATCAAGAGCTGCTTCTTTGATACCGCATCTACTTTGATTTAAGTCTTTCATCAAGTATTGCGTGTTCTCGTTTTGTAATATTTTCTTGAACTTTTCCAGCTCCTTCTTCAGAAATGTTATAATTTTGCTCTCAAGATCCTACAAAGGACGAGAAAAATAAGGCAAAAAACCAACAACTATTTAACCAAATTATAAATCCAAATTTAAATATTGATAAAAATAGTTATAGATAAACAGGTTAATTTGCTGTCATTTCAATGAATAGAAATACATGACTTTCACATTTTCATTCTTATATAATGCATTCTTTAAAAAAATTGTTCTCTTACCTGGAAGATCACTGAGAGACTGTCTTTGAAATTCTTGTGGTTCCCGTGAGTCTCATATTTAACCCTGTAAAAAGAAAAAAAACTTGTAATTTTTTTTAGCAAACAGTAAAAAAAACTCAAATGAACACTTGATAAATAAAGGTTTATGATAGGCATTCATCGAAACTCTTTTTAACACAGTCTGTGTGTCCAAGAATAAAACACATGAAATACCTTTTGGTAGATGATGGTTTTTCCACACCGAAGTTTATTTCGAAATCTTTTGACTGGTCACTCTTCACAGACGCAGAGCTGCACACATTTGAGTCTGATCTTTTTCTAATGAATGACCAAAAATGTTGCAAACAGTTAATTAAATGCAGTATAGTTTAGCATTTTTCCATCTATGACTATTACATGTTTGGTTGCATGGTTTTCCATAGTGAATTTAGGTATTGACTGCCTGTGTAATTGTATTACTCTTACAGAGTTCAACAAAGGTCATAAGTCTGTTTTATGATTTGTTTTAATTACTTAAGTTTTATCATACACCATTGTGGAAAAAATAGCTAACACAATATAATGTAAAACATATGAAATACCTTTTCACTATTGTTCTCTTAATGAATTTCAGCATGTCACCATTTGAATGGTCACTCTTCACAGAACCATGTAAGCCTGATCGTTTCCTAATGACACAAACAGATGAGAGAAACTTTACTACTTGTATCTGATGTCGGCAAACACTCCCTCAAGTCATTCACAGAAACATACATGTAATGGCTTAAGAGTTAACGGTCATTCATATTTACTGGCCCGGCACATTTTTATAAACAATTTAGGGCCATATTTACTAAAGAGCGCAAATTAGCGCAATTCTATAAAAATGCCAATGTGAGTGGATATTTCGGCGGGTGATTTACTGACAAAATGCACACACACACACACAGAACACAGCGTCAAAATGTAATTTCCATAATGACCAATGCAATCTACCAAGAGCAGCTCAAATTAGTGTCTGCTAAAGGAGAGTGTGCTGGTGCACGCTGTTAGTAAATCTAGACTTTAATGTTCATAAAGAGTTGAAGTTATTTATGTGGAATCATTTAGGTGTCTGCATACCTAGTGCTGAGGTTCAGTGTGCTCATGTCTAGAAAATAACTGTCCTGAATTGAGAAACACTTACATGTTCACTCCAATGAGCATCACCCATTCATTATTTTCACAGATAGTGATGAGGCATTTGCACAAATTGTATTTATAAAAATTCATATAAATTTATAACACAACTTTAGCACTTAGAGGATTAGTTCACCCAAAAAAGAAAATTCTGTCAGTATTTACTCACCCTCATGTTGTTCCAACCCTGTAAGACCTTCGTTCATCTTTTCGGAACATGAATTAAGATATTTTTGATGAAATCTGAGAGCTGGATCATTCCTCCATACTAGTCCATAGGCTTCTTGAGGGATTGAAACTTGACAACCTCGAAAAGTTATTAAAGACATTGTTAAAATAGTCCAAGTGACTACAGTGGGTCAATCTTATCTTTATCAAGCGACGAGAACACTTTTTTTGCACAAAAACAAACATAAATAACCACTTTATTTCAGCTATTAATTTACTTCTCTTTGGGCCTCAAGTCAGTTAAATGTCACACGTAGGCTCACTATTGGCCGACGCTGGTCATGTGTGTGATGCGTGTGACGTACAACAACAGATCGCCCAGAGAGAAGGAAATGAATAGTTGAAATAAAGTTGTTATTTTTGTTTGTTTGGGGGTTTTTTGCACAAAAAGTGTTTGATAAACTCAAGATTGACCCACTGTAGTCACTTGGACTATTTTAACGATGTCTTTAATAACTTTTCTAGGCCGGCAAGTTTCAATCCCTCAAGAAGAATATGGACTAATATGAAGGAGTGATCCAGCTCTCAGATTTCATCATAAATACCTTAATTTGTGTTCCGAACATGAACGAAGGTCTTACGGGGTTGGAACAACATGAGGGTGAGTAAATACTGACAAAATTTTCATTTTTGGGTGAACTATCCCTTTAACACTACTGTAATCTAACCCTGGCAAAAACCTTGAATATCCAGTTGTGTTCTCTGAAAACAGTCTTACCTGAGTTTCTTTGATGAAAACATTTTAGAGTGTCCTTTCCTCACTCCTCTGATACACTGCAGCTAAACTGGTTTGTGAAAACACTCAGTCCTTCAGTATGACCTCAAGAAGACAATGTTACTGAGATGAAAAGCATAGCAGTCATTACAGAAAATAGTGAAGAAAGAAACTAGCTATTTAAAATAAAGTTGGTTACAACTAAGCAGAATAACCAAAACTGTCTTAATCTTGAACGGCTCTTAATATAAATTCACGGAGAATAGGCATTATAAATACTGTGCTTATATTTTTTTTTGTAGGCTATGAAAACTGAACCTGTTCGTTTTATGTAGGCCTATTGCAGTTCTGACTGTCATCTGATGATTGCTTCGTTCGCAAATAGGACTATTTCATTATTAATAAAACTAACCTTACAGAGGTCTAATGTGTACGAAGTCAACGGAATAATTAAATTGAATAATAGGACATTTTGTTACGTTTAAATATTTGAAAAAAATATATTAGTGAACATTCACTAGGCTTAATGTACGTCACTGGAAATGTCTGGTGGTAAACAACACAATTTGTAATCAAAAGTGTAGCCTTCTAAATGAGAATTTAGAAATACTTCAAACACTCGTTTTTACTTCTTGGCGCGTGGTACGAATCCAAAGCAAACTCTAGCTTGCGGTGAAACATTCCGTGCCATTGACTGATGTATGTTTGTAGTCGTTGGTAAAAATTAACAACATTTACGATTCATTCTGATGTCATCTTTTGCCACAGTAGTTGTGAACAGCGATTTAAAACATTGAGCGCGAAAAAGAAAACAAATCCCGGATGTCTCGCGAAAACACATGTATTGAGTAGATAAATGCACATACATGTCCGTAAATGGTAAACGTGTCGCCTGCCCTACACTAATGAACAAATCAAACAAGCAACGCGTTATCCTGAAGTCTCTTTACATGTTTTTTTTTTTTTTTTGTGTATATTTCGCTTACTTTCGTTTCCGTGTGTGTGTGTGTGTGTGTGTGTGTGTGTGTGCGTGTTTGTGTGTCTGTGTATGTGTGTTCGAACAGATTCATACCGCCACTTACAGGAATGGAGCATGGAATTCTACTACACACATTTCTAAAGCACAGACTGCTCAACCTAAAATGTAAGAATGTAAAATTCATATAAGAACTTTTTAATGTCTTTATATTATTCAGGTTCATATACCAAACTCGATAAAATGTAATATGCATGTACACCTACATACATAGCCTACTTTTTATACAATTTATACAACATAAATTTAAAAACAAATATAAATTCATAAATGTAGCCCTAATTTACAAATGTAAGCACAATGTAAAATGTATAAAATGTCAAATTAAATAATGGTCTAATATTTTAAAATATATACAACAATGAGACATATTGTTAATACACATTCAAATTTGAAAAGACAGCCCAAAAATTAACATTCACACTTCAGACTCAATATTACAATATTATTACAACAATATTATTTCATATATCTGAGTGTTAAAGAGTGTTAATCAGAATTAGCAATATTTTAATTGCTCCATTGTGGCTCATGAATTTAATCACAACATCATGATTTATACAACATCAGGCTTTATACAGAACTCCCAGACCCCCGCTGACTTGAGCAATCTTTTCTCACACCAGACTTGTCATTAAGTGCTTGACCTTTAGAAAAAAGACAATTATAATTTGTATGAATACCAAACCAATTTTTCATTCAACATAACTTGTATACACATACGTTTCTATTGAAGTTTATACGTTTCTAAAAATATATATATATGCATACATATTTTTTTTTAGAGATTGACTTGATTGATCTGGCAAAAGTGAGACAGCACCAGTATTTTCTTCTGCATGGCACATACCCTGCTGGGTCAACAAAACAACAAGTTTTTAATAAAAAGTAGAACAGAGAATTGCATTGTCAAGTGTAAGAATTAATATTGTCATTAAGGTGTCATGCAATGCAATCCGATAATACTATATCAGCCTGTGAGCGAAACAGGCATAAGCCCGTTGACATAAGTGCATTTCGAATTATTTTAATGTCATATGTTATACAAACATTTAAGGGAGGAAATTGACAAACTTTCCACATATCAGCTTTCTAAGGCCTGAAATATCACTGTGAGCGAGCAGTATAAGGGTTCAACCAAAAATCCGGTCATTATTAACGTGCTGCACTAACTTCTACAATAAAAAAAAACACATTTTCTTTCTGATGAAAGTGACTTGACCGCACCTGCAATTCTCATTCAAATTAAAGTCACAATACAGAACTGACCTAAAGTCAATTAAAGCCATATATTAAATCACGGGATCACAGAAGCACAATTATTTCAAGTTTGCTGAATTTATGTGACTAATGACTTCAAACCACTTCTTCGAGACAGAGGATTTGCAAATGCAGTTTTACGCCCCCACAGATAGTAATCTCATCTCTTGCTGAAAAGTGTTTGGTGTAGTGATTCAGTGACTGATGCTGACGATGTTAGTGGTTTAGATGGTCTGTGGAGTTTCATTATGGTTGTAAGGAGCAGAAAACCAGTTATTTTAACATCCAAAGGACAGTGAGAGACTTGACCAGGCCAAACATCTGAAGATCAGTAGGCCTATATGTGCACTAAAATAGTCATGATGAGAGATAAAGATCAACCTAAGAGCAGGTTAGAAAATAAACTGAAGATCGGACTAATGTTCACACATTTATTTTTATGACAGCGCTGCTCAGGTCTTTTTCTCATTTCACACTCCGTGTTTTATTCTGAATCTTCTCAGTGTTTTTAATGGCAACATCCACGTCCATGACGCATTTAAGTTGTCACCTTTTAAAATACATATTGCATCTATAGTTTTCTTGTGAATAACGTAGTAGTGTCTCTTATACATTCTCGATTAAAGTGTCTAAAGTAAATAACTAAAGTTATTTTTTTTTAAATAAAATAATGCAATCTGAAAACACCACATTCTCAAGTGTTTGTTTTTTTATCACTTTTTATATTAGATTTCACTAGTCATTCAGCAAACTTTACAATGAAAAACTGTTCATGGATATTTGATCTAACAGACTAAACATGAAAAAAAAAGAATAATAAAAAATAAACACAGTTGAGTGATGGTGCTGTGCTTGCATGACAGTCTTTTTCCTGATCAAGAATGAGGCCAAACAATTTAAAGATTATATGTTTATTTTGATATGGTAAAAAAAGAGGCATAAAGTAACAAAAATAGCATGAAATATTCTGCAAGTACATTTTTGAACATCTCTTTTATGAACTTTTACACTAAAGATTTATTACACTAAAATATCACAGCGAGCAAGAGAGAGAGAGAGAAACTACTTTATATTAACAGACTTTACTACCTTTTCTGGGAATGACATGAGGGTGCATAATTTATACAGACAATTAAGAATTTAGATAATGATTTAAATAATGTTTTGGGGTGAACTGTCCATTTAATTGAGAACATTAAGCTAAATGCAGTATTAATAAATTTTTTTAAATCAGTTTCTCTAAAAAAAAAAGTGTTTCGCTCAAAATGCTTTTTTTTTTGCTCTCAATGCCAAGCGAATAATATAATGCACATTCATTCATGAATATAAGAGCTATTTTTTGTTTAATCTTCAGTGATGCTGAACTTAATCAGCCAGCTACCCATCAAGTTGTGTGATAACTGAACAAATGGTGTAATGGCCCCGCCCATGACACAATTTTCACAGAGAAAGGAAAACCACTATGGGAAAACCCTGACACAAGAGCAAGAAATTGCAGCGAGAGCAAAGAAACACCTTTTTTTAGAGAAAATGTTTTCACACTGATAGTAAAAAAATATAAATTTGATAATTTTTTTTAATCAATAGATATTTTTTTTTTCTTGTAATATGACACAATCATAGCTCCACATGCTTTAGGCTGAATTCTATTTTGAAATGTGCAGTGCTACACCTTATTTTTAACATAAGAGTAGGTGCAATCTACATACTTCTGCTTAGTTATTTTAGCTGTAGAAAAACAGTCCGTTATGTTGATAAGCTGTATCTATTATTTTAATGCGTCACTGTAATCACTGTTTGCAGAGCAAATAGGTTTACCATACTGTACTTTTTTATTCGGTTTTTAAACTTTTTACCTATAGCATTGAATGAATAAAACTCAAAGCTTGAATGAGTTTGCTTTTGAAAAAAAGAAATAATCTTTGAAATGATATTTACTCAAAGGAGTTCTCGTGATATATTGACACCAGGGATTCATGGATCTTCATTTGGTTGATCAGTGTTTGTTGCTGCGATCTGCACAGTCTTCTTCCGTGGAAGATTTCTGGTTCTGAATTCACAAACCAGAACGACCATCACAGCCACGCCCACCAGAGATGAGAGAGCCAATCGGATAACGGCTTCAGTGAAACTACAACAGCGACTTTCTTAAGAGAGAAGAAATGAGCAATGTTAGAAAACATATATAATTCATGTTTGGGAAACACAGATATTTGATAGAATATTTGAATATTTGATAACAAATCGGTTATTTAAAAGCCACATTTTCCAGGTGATTGTAACAAAATACTGTGAAGGACTGTTACTTTCTGAACCGGGACCATATTTGTTTTCCATATTACCAATATATATAAGTTTCGATAATATGCTCTCAATGGCAAATTCGAAAAATCGATTGCATGCATTTTTAAATGCTCATGACAAACGTCTCACAGCTGTAGGCCTATTTATTTTCTTCAAATAATTTGCATAAAATTTCTTGATGCTTTTGGATGCTCTCAGTGTAAGCTTGCTGTAACCTGCTGCTCACTTTTTCTTCAAAAACTGTTAGGCACTGCAGTTACTCACATGTGAGTGGCAAAAACACTGAGTAGCTGCCGCGAAAAACAAATTTAGTTTAAATTGATAAAATAGTTTGTTTTAGTCGCATTTTAGTCGCATGTTTCCCCTATTAAATCCAGTCACGCAGCAGATCTTTCGCCACTCTCTTGCTGAGGGTGGTTGTTCCGGCGGGAAAGTGACGTCAATGCATTCCCTCTATATAACTAGGAAGTCGTGAAAAGTTTACCTTTATGGAAATTAAGCTCCTTTTGCAATCTAGTGACAATTGAGTTTGTCAAAACATGACAGTGTATTTAAGGAGAGACTTAAAATTCAACCACATTCATGTTTAGGCCCCAAAACAATCTGTCAATCGTCTTTATTTACCCAGACAGCAACATAGTGTAGGCCCAGATCCGACCCATCAGGTAAATGTTAATTGTTTTACGCCTTGTTTTACGTGTTAAAAGGTGAATACACAGACAGCAAAATAGTGTCTGCCCAGATCCGGCCCACATCTGGTACTTATGGATTCAACGTGTACCAGATGTGGGCCGGAGCCGATACTGTTGATATCTGGGTATATATATATCGAATAATCCAGCATGTACTCACCACAGACAATAAGATTGAATATGTTGAGCGGCGTCTCTGATCTGGTTGTTTTGACTTGATAAAGCCCAGAGTCTGTGGTTCTGATGTCGGTGATGGTCAGAGATCCGGTTTGATCCAGTTTCAGTCGACCTATGAATCTCCCATCAGCACTACCATTATAAAATTTCGGTTCATTGTTCTGTCTATTGATTTGAGCAATGAGAATGTCTTTATGTCCAAAATTCCACCTTATCTGATCATCTTTTTTTATGTTAGTAACATTAGGCTTTAAAATGACAGATTCTCCCTCCATCACTGACACTGACTTCACTTCATCTGCACTGCCAAAAACACCTGCAGAACAAACAGAGAGGATTGCTTCAAACTAATTTGATATTGTTGTTTTTTTTAAATAGTGCAACACAAACATTTGACACTATTGAATGCATGCATAATTGAAATAAGTTCACATTTTCAAACAAGTGGGATTTATTTTGCATGAGTTATGAATCAGATTGATTGATTTACAGTCATCATAA